TCGATATGTCAGCCGATAAATTTTCATTGCATTCTAATCGGTCTACCGATTATATGTATGTTAATTCAGTCTTAGAATAATCCATGTAGCAAATTTCTTCAAAATCCGTTCAGTACTTTTTTCGTGAAATGTAACAAACATACTTACATCAATCCTCACATACTTTCGCATTAAATATTACAAGGATAAAGGTATTTTTGAGATCTTAGTAGTTTTACATAGCACGGTTAGTAACTCAAAACTGTCAACTTCTTTGACGATTTTGATATTTAACTAGTCGAAGTTAGAGTCTAAATCAATTGTAATTTATTTATTTTTAATGTAGGAATTTTAGCTAGCAGTAGCTGTTCATGAAGACTTCGTTATTTAACTTAATATGTGAGGGATTATACAATTTTTTAAGTAAGTAGACAGTAATTATGGTAACTACAAAATAGGCTTAATAAGTAAAGTTATTTGAGATAAGTATGACATTTGGAAAATATAAACTTGCTCGCTTAATAATAATAGGTAAATTGACCTTGACCAAAAATGTTATGTTACCTTAACACCAAATATGGCATTGTCGCAACCCACGCTACATATTAAAATTTTATGCTTCCACTTTATTTTAGCAACTTATCGTTCGACTGTGGAACAATAAATATTTCGTACAACCAAAGTAATTAAATAATATAAAATATCTTTATGTATAACTATTAAAAATACATGAACGTCGATGCCCTTGAGTAAGCACGAAACATGCGTATACAAGGTACTTACACCTTCAACATGTGTGCAGACAAGAATACCAATTATTAACTTCATAAAAAATACCCAAGATACAATAGCTATTAAAAGAATAAACATAATAGCTATTATAGTCAATTGCTTTGTGGCAGAAGCTATAAATACTTTTTGTTTTTTTTTTTAATTTCGACGAATAAGAATCGTTGGATATCTGGCTGTATGTGAAAAGCGGTTTTGGTCTCGGTTAATAAGTGAGAAAGTATCGAGTGTTTCTGTGGTAATTACCGTTTTGCGATGGATTTAAAACCTGTTAATTGTGGAACAGGTTGAAGAGGAAATCGTCGGTTCACAGCTGCCATGTGAGATTAAAAGATGACCTTCAACAAATTGTTGTAAAAGGATATTGTACCCCAAATTCAGATAATTGGATTACTTATTGACTTATGTATGTAGTCATTGATTTAAAAACTCGCATAGTTTCCCTTTTTTATAAGTTTCTAATTTTTATTGTTTTGTAGGAGGTTAGGTATATACATAAATACTGATCTAATAATGAAAATCCTTTCGATCACGGAAATTTTGATCATACACGGGTCACATAGGCTATAATTAACGCAGGCGAAGTCGCGGGAAAACAGCTAGTTATAAAAGTAGAAGTCTTCTCCACTTAAAGTTTAGACTCGAACAAAATCTACAAAAAGTATGTATAATATTTCTTATAATATAATTATAATATTTCTTTTAATTATAATTTTAATTAAGTATTCTTTTGCTACTTTACTTCATTAAAAAATAAAAATAAAAAGCTGTATGCAAAATAGTTACAACAGCGAGAAATTTTTCATAACGAATTTCTAAATTACCATAGAATTTTTTACATTATCCGCTCAGTTCTGTGACTAAAACGGTTTTAATATCATAGTTATAGTTTAGTTATGGCCTATACAAGATGGCAAGTAATATCTACATTTACGAATTTAATTAGCCTAAATTATTAATATACGCTGCATCATTCGTAATTTGCATAATATTGGGATCGCCATTAAAGCAGTGCCCATAAAACTGTCTATATATTTAGCTGAGATATTTCGATTGCAGAGTCAAAGCGTTGGTCATTATAAGAGAATGTACCGACGAGAAATATCATAAATTGCTACATATAATATGGAAATAGCTGCCCGGTGGATGCAGTTAGTGAAAGTTTGTAAGCTTGTTGGATATCTAAGCATCCTGTCGGTACCAGTTGCAAACTATTCAGTCGCATCGCATCCGACAAGGCACGTTTATTACTTCCTTTATTATAGAAAAACTTAGGTGTAGTTGTGGAAGTAGTAATGGAGATTTATGAATGTGTTCAAACTCTCGATGTAGGTTAAGGTGTTAACATTTTTCGCATTAAATTTGACTGTAAATATTACCGTAAAATGGACCATTCGAAATATATTATCATAAATATTGAATGCTGTTTGTTGAGTACAACTGAACGGAGTTTTTAATGGCCTTTTTACCATATATTTGCAGGGGTCCAAAAAAGGTTAAAAAACTCTTTGGTAAATTAAAAAAGGTAAAACTGTAAGCACTGCTGTATGTAGGTGTGATTTTACAGAGCAAATTATAAATTTTAATATAGGAGATTATATTGATGAAATTTTCGTCTGGGTAAATTGTCACCCGCGTATGATATTGTAGCTTCCCGTAGGTGAAATTATTTTTAAAATCGGTCCAGTAGTTGGAGCTTATTCGATGCGATTAAGCAATCTAATCTTTCCACCTTCATATATGAAAAAAATATTTCTGTGCTTTCCTCTTTATAATATAAGTATAAACAAGGGCCTCATTCAAAAAGCTTTTTAATATCATCGCATCACATCACTAGGCTATTAATGTCCCCATTGCTGGGGCTTAGGCCTTCCCTGTGGATAAAAAAAGAATAGGAAGAATGGGCCATGACCCGTTAAGTATATATGATGGGTAATCTGCGACTGCAGTCGGAACCAACTGCATAACGTGCCTTACGAAGCACGTACGAGTTCGAGATAATAATTTTTGGTCACCCATTCTTTGGACAGCCATTGCGAAAGTTGCTTAACAACCGTATCGCAGACTGAGCATGCTAACCACTGCACCATGGAACTCTTCATTTTTTTATATGTCGGAAATAATACTAATTGTTTATACTTTTAACAGTTTGATTATTAATTGTGAATTCATAATAATCTTTGCAGGCAAGCATACATATCGACACCTACATAAAGAAGAAAAATAAGTATTCTTTTAATTTATATATAGGTAAACGCCCAACTCAGAATGGAATACGCCAAAAGAAAAGAATATAAAATATAAAAAAAAGAGTTTTAGTACGTCAATATTTGACTTTAGGAGTTTAAGTAATAGGTACCTAATATATTTTTGCTTGGTCATAACCATTGATATTTCCCTCGAGTTTTTGCAACCAACTTAGTCCTATTTTAATTTAGTTCAGAATGCTAGTTAAGCGAAGTGACTATTATTAGTAGGTGCGCGGCCAAAAGCTATTAGCATCAGGTAGATGGTTCTAACCATCATCATAAATTCCTTTGCTGTTCTCCGAAGTAAAAATATTGGGAAACAACATTAAATTGATCTAGAGTTTGAATTGAAAAATGTTAAAAAATGCATAACACATTTTAGAATATGGGAATATACATCAGTATGTCGATATTTATTTATTTATAAGTCAATCTGCGTAGATAGTACGTTTCATTGGTATGGTTTATAACTGTTTGTGATATTCGCTGGAATTTCTAAAAAACATATTAAGTATTTTCATTCTTTAATAGACAAATGAAAGAGAGTGCTTAAATTAAACTTAAGCTCCGACAAAGTTATCAATAAGCACGAAATAAAAAATTAAGAAATTCATTCACGATCTAATTATTAAGTATTGAGCGTGCTCCCAATTCGATACAAATGCAAGTAATAATTTACATGTAGAAAGTTACATCGGAATAGAAACGCTATCTCAGACAGAACGGAATTAAAGAATAATAAAAATTTGTTCTTTTTTTATTAGTGCACAGAGAATAAACCGCAAAAGCGTAAGCTCCAGCTAACTTACAATAAGCTCAGGTGGTCGAATGTCCTCGGCACATTAATATGCTATTCACACTGAACAAATTTATCATATAATCTATGATAACACGCCACTCGAAATCACACACTATCGTATATCACAAGAGAGAGCTTTTTCGTCGTGAGAATTTTTTATACAAGTTTTAGCGACGTTCGATAAACGGGCACTCACGGCGACTTTCAATTGGAGACTGGCGCGATGGATGGATAGGGTGCGGCGTCTGCGCAGCCTTCGAGTTCATCGACACACCGACACATGATCACATGTGAGAAACGCTAAGTCTTCGGAAAATTCGCTTCTAAAAGTACCTACGTGTTTGATTATCCTCTATCGCCAGTTACTTCGCTTAAAATAATATTTGAGTTTACGACTACGTCCATTTTCGAAATTCTAATACTACTCCAAAGAAACGCATTTTTGACGATTTATCATGCAAGGGAGGAAGAGCATGATACTGCCTCTGATAAACAAATAATCTTCACAGATATAATTTAATCAAAATTATAATCGGGACGATTCGTAATTTTAATTATTATTAGTTATGGGATTTACATTTTTCGCTCCTGGGGTTGCGCCCTTCTACACCTATTTGTAGTCTTTATATTTCTACATTTTGCAATGTATTTTTTTGGGTCTTTGAAAATATATACGTCCCATCGTAGCCTATAATGTGTTTTCATCGTAACCTATATTGTAATTTTTTGTGAAGCTATTTCTTTTTTTCTGATTTTGGCGCACAACGTAAACCCTGGGGTCCTACCCGTAACTAACATTATTAATCTCATGGTAATGCGAGTGTAAAACAACATATTCACGGACTTTATTAAAAAAGTGCAGTGATTGAGCCATCGATCGATTATTTATCACGCGATATCATATTGAACTAATCCTCTGTACAAGGATACATTAATTTAATATTAATTTTGAACATCGGATAAACTGGGTGGTGGTGCAGTTGTTAGTGTTCGGAGGTCTGAGAAGTAACTTTCGTAAGTGCCAGTCATAGACTAGAGTCACAGATTTTAGATAAAGTCTAATGAGATCTTTTATAATAAGAAAAAGTTTATAATAATATTGTTCATATAATTTCGATTGCCATAAATTTTTACAAGAAAAAAAAATGTCAAGTTTATTTGACGGTCCGCTGTCAACTGTCATTGTCAGTTATATTAAACCACGGATGCGAATCGTGACTTTCAGTTTTTCTTAGTAAAAGCGTATGTATTAAAGTTTGCTTCAAGTGTATTGTGTTCAGGATATTTGAAAATGCCCAAAGTTTCAGGTAAGTTCTTTTTTATAGTTTATCGCACAATAAAAATTCTTTCTAGAAATTTGGAGGTTAAATTTCGTTATCGGCGAGTTTGGAATTCAACAGATATAAATTTTGTTATTTCTTACGTATAATTTAGTATATTTTTTTAGTGTACATTAATAATTGCAATGCATAAAAATTAAATTGACTTAATTTTGTGATTATGCTTTGTCATGGGTCTTACAAACAATCATTTAAAGGGGCATTTCTAATAATCGTTTTGCGGGGATTCGTTTTTGAACTTAAAAATATTAAATTAGAATTAGATATTCGCAATGTCAAAGTCATAAATTCTTCTCTCAGATTGGCAGTAAATGTTAATAAAATGGTGTTTTCTAAAATATTTTCCTCAAACTTACAGTCAAAGTGAAATGGGGTAAGGAGATGTATCCCGGTGTGGAGGTGAACACCGATGATGATCCGGTTGTGTTCAAAGCACAAATTTTTGCTCTTACTGGAGTGCAACCAGAACGTCAAAAGGTTGTATGTAAGGGTGTTACACTCAGGGATGATGATTGGGGTAACTTCAAATTAACTAATGTAAGTACAGTCTTATACAAACAGGTGTTTTCTTAAAAAATAATAAAGATAAATCTAATATAACAATCTGTACCTTTTGATTGTTCCTTTTAGTTACTCTGTAATAGATTCCTAAATCAATATTTATACATTACTAAACTAATTGAAAAAATAAACTGGGCTTTGATATTGCTGTTAACAATGAAACAACAGCACTTTGATGGTGTTTCAATTAATAGACTTTAACCACTGCTTTATCTACATGATATAAATTATTATTAGCGTTCTTATTTGTAGTGTAACATTAACTGTGCTGAAAAATCTAAACTGACACACCATAAGAAATATATATACATTTTTAATTACAAGAAAAGCAGAAATATACTAAAAATTTACTCCTGATCTCTTCTATAATAGCAGTAATATGAAGTTATATATTGCTATGGACTAAAATAAATGATATTACTTCAGTTGTGAGGCTGTTCTTGTACATGATAAGAGTGTGAATTTTTTTGAGTACTGGCATGGCTCTTTAGAGATTGGTCAAGTTTCCAGTGCTGTTGAATATTTCGCATTTGGTGCAAATTTTCAGTTTTTAATACGTTGGAATAACACGGTGCAAATGCATTATTTTTGGTAATGGTATAGGTTGCAATTTTTGTATTATCTTACAGAATGCATTGGTATTAGTAATGGGAAGTAAGGAAGAGGATGTCCCATCTGTACCAGTAGAACAAACAAGATTTGTGGAAGATATGAATGAGTCAGAACTTGCTACAGCTGTAAGTACTTTTGATATGCTTTCTTCATTATAAGTGTGAATTTAGTTTTTGAGATAGGGGGAAGTTAAGGTCCAGTCAGAGCAATGCTGCCTTCAATACTGTGCAAAGTCATAAAGGGAAATGTATCTTGTTAATTAACTCTGGCATTATTATTGTTAAATTAAAAAGCTTGAGGAAGAAGTGTTTTAACCCTCATTTGGATTTGCCCTTGTTTAACTTATATTCTCTTTAAGTCAGTATTATTCATTCTTTTATTTTCTTTAAGCTGGATCTTCCTGAAGGATTAATATATTTGGGAAACACATGCTATATGAATGCAACAGTTCAATGTCTCAAAAATATATTTTTTTAAAAGACATCAGATATAAATCAAATATTTTCAGTCAGTATTAATAATTCTTTTGTTTTCTTTTAGTTGGATCTTCCTGAAGGATTAATAAATTTGGGGAACACATGCTACATGAATGCAACAGTGCAATGTCTGAAAACTGTACCTGAATTAAAGAATGCCCTATTGAATTATGATAAATGTAAGTAGTTTAATCTTCTGTGACAAATGGCAACATAACACATGCAACATTATCTCTTTGACTTAAATAAAATAGTAGCTTTTATTTAGCTTCTTCACTCTACTATTGTAGGATAAAGGAAAAACATATTTTTAGTCATTAACTTAAAATATCCCACAGTGATGTCACATGGGGATTAATTGCACTCGTAACAAAGATGTTGATGTTTACATTATTGAAATGGCGACACGATATTCGCGTTATAACCGCCTGCGTTTGTGGTTTCCAATTAAACAAAAATGAAGAGAGTTTCTTCATTGTTGATTTTGTTCCAGCGTCCGGGGGCGGCAGTGCCGGTGATTTGACTATCGCCCTCAGCGAGACTATGTCGGCATTAGAGCGCGGGGGGGCGGGCGCGTGCGCGGGGGCGGCGGCGCGGTTGCTGCGCGCTTTGCACGCGGCCGCGCCACGCTTTGCGGAGCGGGGTCCGGGCGGGGGGCTCGCGCAGCAGGACGCCTCCGAATGTTGGACGGAGATTGTGCGGGCGCTGCAGCAGCGATTGCCCGCAGCGCCGGCGATGCCGCAAACTTCTAATGATAGGTAAATAGTTTATAAGCTTCGTAGAACTATAGTTAAATGTTTACTTAACAGGTGGAAGAGCGGCCAAGTGTGAATCGGACTCGTGCATAAAATGTTCCGTACCGAAAACGAGCGATTGTTGTATGAATAATTATTTTATTTTGGTTTTTAGTTGTTGTTATAGCAGTAAGAGACATAGGGTCATGATGTGTGAAAATTTTAATTGTTTAGCTATCACGGTTTGTGATATACAAAGAAAATGGATGAATGGACAGCGGAGTCTTAGTAATAGGATCCAATATTTGTTGGGTACAGGTTCCTAAAAAGGCCTGAAATGGTGGTGTCAAATCACTGATGCCAGGTTGATGTTTTAACGTTATTTTATTGACCGCGAGATATCTAGGGTTAAAAAAAATTGCTATCTTGTGCTTTAAAAAAAAAATTCGTTGGTCAGATTATTCAGAGTGAGTTATTCGCCTACAGCTAAAGTCGTCATATTTGCGATATGGACTATGTTACTTCCTCAGTCGCAACTGGAGAAATAATATATAGCGGTACGAAGTTCGCCTAGCCAGCTACTTTCTAATTATAATAGAAAACTATCCTTAAATCACACTGTAAAGCCTTTTTTCTCATCATGTGAACTATCACAATGTAATTATAATATATAACTATGTATATATTTGCGTCTAAATAGTTATTTCGTATATCTGCTTGTATATATCTAGTTTTATTTTCAACATAGGAGCAATGTGATCGAACAATATTTTGGTGGTACCCTGGATGTGGAGTTGGTATGCTCGGAGGCAGATGAACCACCTACAAAGAGTAAGGAGACTTTTCTGCAGTTGTCCTGTTTCATCTCACAGGATGTCAAGTACTTGCAGTCTGGACTCAGATCAGTGAGTGTATCACCAGTAACACTTATTTATTTATTATTTTTATTGATCTTGCAGCATGCATTTGCGTAATGTGACAACTCGAATATATTGAGGGATAAAAAAACAATTTGTTTATTTGAAATTAAACTTGGGTGATTCTTAAGATTAGGCATTTCCTAGCCTTGTTCTAGGTGTAAAACAGGCTTGAGTCTCTGGTAGTTTAGGTGAAAGAGAAGTTAACAAAAGCTTTCGAATTCATATTTAATTTGGTACCCCGGGATTGTTCTTTTTGACAAACTTTGATATGTTTGATATGTTGCTTTTTATTACAGAAAATGTCAGAACAGATCACAAAAATGTCACAAACGCTGGGACGTGATGCGGTTTATACTAAAACGGTAAATATTACATAGAATACTATTTATTTATTTAAAGACAGATTACAAGACAATGTACTGATAATAGCTTAATTACAATAATAAAATCGCATGCAAATAAGTGTTGCCTCAACTACAAGCTGCTACGGCATGTACAATTATACAGAGGATATATCTGAAAGAAATTTAATAAGATTACACATATTTTTCCTACTTTATTATCACTTAAAGTACGCCTTTAGAAACGGCAAATTAGTTAAGAAATCAAAGTGAAACCAATTTGTAACTGAAAAAAAAAAAAACATTCTTATTTATCGTGTAAGAAGACTACTAAGGTGATCGTACATCTATCGAGAATGGAACGCGCCGAAAGAAGTGAAAAAAAGGAATTTTAGATTTATTTGTATACAAACATGATACGTCGCACATATGTATGCGCTGAATCGTCGGAATGAGGAAGTATTAAAAAAAAACATTAGTTCCCGAAATCAAACCAGATGTCGCTACGGTACGTTCTTGATTTCTCCATGACAATCTTTCCGGTTTTCTTTCAAGTTTAAAAGTAAATTAGTTTTCAAAACTCAATGAACAACTGATATTCTATTTGTACTTTTTCGTATTTGTATTGATATCTAAGTTTCGAACTTTTCAAATTTCAGTTTTTTATTATGTTAGTTAAAAGGAACGGAAATGACTATCTTTGGTCCATTCTTTTCCTGCAAAATCAACTTTTGCCATCCAGTGGAGGTGCTTTTTTAGTGATTTCTTTTTTTTTTAATATTTCCTCATTGTGATGCTGCTTGTCATTAATTTAAAACACGTAAATTCGTTTAGTCCGCTTCCTTCGGCTCTGATAGATATGCGATCACTATGAATTATATTATAATTATATTTCAGTGCAAAATCAGCCGTCTACCTGCATATTTAACGGTGCAATTTGTCCGTTTCTATTACAAAGAGAAAGAATCTATTAACGCTAAAATATTGAAAGACGTCAAATTCCCTCTCGACTTGGATGTATACGAACTATGTTCACCCGAACTGCAAGAACGACTGGCGCCGATGAGAGCGAAATTCAAGGTAAGTTAGTTTGTAAGCATGTTCAATAAGCTACTTGGCTGTTTTACTCACAGAAGACCCATAAGTTGACTATTTAAGCCCAATGCCGATGGGTTCCAACAATTGCAAAAGTTATTGTGTCTTTCAAAACGCTCGAGATAATACATTTTGGTAGTCACCAATCCAATTACTAGCCTTTATGAAAGTTCCTTAATCTTTGTTGTATATATCCCCTAAATTGCTAATGCGTCGGAATCTCGTCTTAATAACACCTGCGTGACGTCATTTGAAAATTGAAAGTAGAGATAGCACAAAATGCAAGAAATAAATTATATTTATTAATTATTGAAATACTTTTGATAATTCCCTTAATATTGTTATAATAATTTAATAAACATGACTCTGTTAATTTTTTGCATGTTATTTTGTAAAAAGTCAATTAATATGTTAATATTGAATTAATTAAGACGTATATGAGAGTTAAAAAAAATGTTAACTCGATATCAATCGAAAAGGATATTTTTTTGTAAACGGCCAAAAGTAATAACGATATGATAAATATTAGATATATTTATTTTTACTGAAAACAACAAAATTATAATAAATATTGTGAGGGATTTCAACAAAACCTAACCCAATAAGTATAATCGTCAACCAGTGTTTATTTGTTAACGGTACTGATCGTTGAACGCAATTATGTCACCAAAATGGCGGCCAGGCGCACTAGCAATTTGCGGGGATTATACTATCGAACGCACTAATTCATGATTATTTGTTGACAAGTATTGATTTTTGTCAAAGTTTCGACGATCTAGTGTTTATTAGACGTGTAGTGTTGCAGGACCATTGGTAAGTTGAAAATTCGATATCAATAATGTAATAATTAATAGTTATCGTTAAACTATGAATGCAACTCTGTCACTGCGTCACTAGTTCTCCGAAACTGGTGTGCTGTTAGGTTATTTTTTTTTAAATTTATAATAAGGCCATATTGTGGTGTTATTACATTTTAAGTTACTTCAGAAAGTAAAATTTCTACAATCAATTTTCTATTTAACTTTCAATGAATAAAGTGTAAAGTGAATTGTAGGTCTTATGTGGTAAACCTAACGTGCTGTCGACTGTACCATTGCAGAATTTGATTCAGTGCAAAATAAATTTACAGGAGTTACAAAATATTTTTACAGGAGTTGGATGATGCAGCCGTAGAATCGTCATTGACAACAAAAAATAAAAATCAAGGTGACAGTAGGAAAGAGATCAAGAATAAGACGGTTGTTCCGTATTGGTTTGAAAACGGTAAGTTATATATTTTTTTTATATTATCTGAAGCACTTATCTTAAATGCACTCGCATCGAAAACATTGACTTTAAGTTTATTGAAATGTGACGTCACACGATGTCCGTCATGGCTGCTTGCGTTTCTGTTCTTGTATGTAATCTACAAATTATAAATCGCAAGTTAATCTTGCAAAAATAAAATATAAGTTAACATTGCTGATATAATTTGTAATTTTCCAAATTTTCATATTGATGAAAAACGCATTAAAATCTGTTGCATGGTTTTAAAGATCTCAGCTTACAGACAGAAAAAAACTACTTTATTGTCTATACCATTTATATATATCATTTATAATTGTACCATTAATACCATTTATAATTTTAGTTTTTGTGGAATTTTGTGAATTATTTTTCATCACCGAAACAATCCCATTTAGACTAACCTTTGATTTAGCTGTTCTTTTACCCCTCCTTTTAGCTCTATTTTTAAGCAGTGACATTAATTAACCCGTAATTCATAATAGATTTAATAACAAAATTTTTATTTGCGGAAATATGGTTACAAAAGTTATTAATAGTTTAAAAGCCCAGCATATTTTGTTCAGAAGACGACACACAAATGGAACCGAAAAAGTATGATATTTGACATTTTGTAGACATTACGGTACACTAGCACTTATAGTGGCAAATAAGCAATAGGCGACTGATTAAAAAAAGGGTTAAATATATTTTTTCACGATCATTATTGCTTAAGAATAAAGTTTATGTAAATATTTTTCAACATTAGTTCGATTTCGTCTTGAAAATAATTGTAATAAAGCACCAAAAAATGTGGTAACTTCAAAATTTTCAAATGCCTTGCTTACTTATCAGAGCGGATGTGACGAAATTGTACATCCGCTCTGATAAGTAAGCAAGGCAAGGTAAACTATATTAAAGCAGTCTATTACACTTAAAAAAAAATCGATTTGTCTAATCGAATAAAAATCAATCACTCAAGATCCATATTGATTTAAAACGTCATATCTCTAATCGTGTTCTTTGACGTCACGACAATACGCGCCAAAATTTAAACCGCTCGTAGTTGATACTTATTCTCATCGTCTATTATTGTAACTAAATTTTAGTTTACCATTGCCGGGTATTATTTCTACAGTTACACAAAGATGTAAATTATCATATAAAAAAAACTTACCCTATACAATATATTCAGACGTGGGCAGCAACAACAGCGGCTACTACCGTCTGCAGGCGGTATTGACTCACCGCGGCAGGTCCTCCTCCTCCGGCCACTACGTGGCGTGGGTGGCGCGCGGCGACACGTGGCTGCGTTGCGACGACGACACAGTCACGCCGGTCACGCAGGACGAGGTGCTCAAACTCAGCGGCGGAGGTCAGTCATTCAATCGCACGTTGAGAACGATAGTGACACAATGCAAAAAATGCGATTTTGAGTAATGAGCGTTTAAAGTTCAAAAAATTGTAATCAGCCCCTCTAAACAACGTATCGTCACTACGCCACGTAACAGTTCCTACGCAAGCTACGTTCACAGGTATCTTTGTATTTTAAAGTTTATACTAAACAAAGAAAAGTGTTGCCAAAAGTAAAAAATACGTCGTTTTTGGTCAGTGACATTGTCATTCTTAACGTGCGAAATACAAATTCATTTATTCGGCGCATGTACACAGGACACTAAAACATAATAATTAATCACATTACTACATATCAGATTAAACGTACATGTTATCGACGAAGAGGGTGACGAGGAATGGTGTGGGCACAGGTGCGAAAATAAACGGCTTATGTTCACAAAAACTTATATTGTCCACAAAACAAATATACTCGCTCAAAGCACGTGACAATCAATCAATAAGATCAAATGTCAATACAAAACGAAATTAAATAAAAATCAAATATATATAAAAGAACTATAATAACAAAGACAACGTATAAAAATAGGTCGGTTCAGCTGACGATCCTCGACAGTACAATTGCAAACAATAGGATATTTAACATTATTCAACATTAAAGTAAATAATATTGTGTCCCACGACTGCACCAAATAGGTATCTAGCTCGGCATTTGTCGGTCCATTTACTTTCCAGAAACAGACCGACGCCGATTTTTAGCTTCTACCCTATGCATTCACCACACGGACGCAGGGATGCAAGATATATATACGTAGATATTATGACGAAAAATGTTTATCAATATTAGATAAATGTCATCATCAGACCTTTTACGTACCCACTGGAGTGGTTTCATTTTTTCGTAGGGCCAGCGCTTTGCTTTTTATTGGAAGTATTACAATTGCATGTATGAATAAGCTGATTATTTTTTCGTGAATTCCGTGTTGCTAATCCATGAAGTCCTGGCATATAATATTATAAATATATAAATAACGTGTTGCGAAGTGAAACTTTATATAATCTATATTAATACTTTTTTGCTGCTACAGATGGTATTTTTCAGTTCAGGCAATCCACCCAAATAGCTGAAAGAAATATTTTTTGCAAATATTATAATTAATTATTTATATTTGAACAATTTTGCATTCACAATGCTATACTGAAAGTATATATAAATTAATGCATAAGCCTAATGTGAAGTTTTGTTACCAGGTGACTGGCACTGCGCATATCTGTTATTGTACGGACCTCGCGTATTGCAGCTGCCCACCGTAGAGGAGCCGATGGAGTCTGACCCCCCCGCTGAACCCTCCGGCGACCCCCCCACCGCGCTAGCGTAACCGCTCGCCCCGCTCGCTCATTCGCTCGACTCCCTCGTACACTCGCTCGCGCATTCCCATCCGTCAGCGGTCTAAAAACAATCATCTTTTTAAATTGGATAATGTTTTTTAAAGTAGTGAAATAAATATCAATAGTACACTTTAAGTACACAACATAATACTAAGTCCTTTCTTACATTACGATACTTGCAATAGACGATGACTTCAGTCGCGTACAAACAGAATACTTGTTGGTAAAATATCTCTAGCTAATATAGCGAAGGGCAATAAAAATGTATGTGAGTTATTCCTCGAAGAGTTGCGTATGATCAAACTAGTCGTCTGTAAGTTTTGTAATGTAAGAAGGGCCTTACTAATAATAAGACTTATACAAATTTTAATCCGAGCGACGTATAAGAAATTTCCTTTGGATTATGTTATTAAAAGCGTAGCAATTGACATAGTAGACTTTGATATTATAGTTTATGCTTTCATCATATGTACGATCGATAGCATGTTAGATTATGCGAAACAAATTCTTCCAATGGATTTTAAACCCTAATCTCTTATTTATTAAGTTTAAAATTGATTACAGAATTTGTATGTTTTATGATAAGCTGATGTGCTGTAGTGTGTACTATATTTTAAAATTAGTTTTTTACCTTATAAAAAACGATTTCTCAATGAACCTTATTCGACAGTTCCTATCTTATGTGCTTATTTGTATTTTTCATTTTGGAATAATATTCGTAAAAAGGATACTTTGTTTCCCTAAATTATTTTTCTTGATTTCATACTACATCGATCGAATATATGTGTAAGAAGACTTAATTTTAAGACTGTGAATCGAAACTGGCTATATATATTTAGAATATGCTATTCAATTAACGGAATATAACATTAAAATAGTGAGTTGAATGCAATTTCTGCTTAAGATAATAACTCTTTGAATTGTTTCGTATAATTACAATAATGAAATATCACAATATTTACATGTGTTTATTTTCTTTGTACTAAAGCACAATTTTCTCTGTACAATTTACTAAATACTTAAAAATAGATGTTTCTAAGCTGTCTTATTTTTATTTTACATGAATTGTATTGAAATCTCTTTAGTTTTCATAATGTAAATGTATTTTTAAGTTCAATAAAGGATAATCTTAAATAATCAGTGCCAAGCTCTATCAGCTGTTATCTTTGTGAATTCATTCAAATTGTTTAGTTTCTTTACCAGAATTTAGTTTTTAATTTATCAAAAGATTTTATATTTTCCAGTTATCGAATTTCGTATCTTTTTTTTTTTTTTATCAGAAGCAAGGAAAACGTTACGGCATTTCACATAAGGTTTAATATAAAATGCCGTAACAATGTGTGCTACGGCATTTTACACTAGATGTAGTGCTTGTTAAGGCATTCAACATTATGTATATTATAAAAAAGCAGTTACTATGTGTTATTACAATAAATATAGTGCAAGATACGAAATTTGATTATTAAGCAAGCGTTATATGTGTAATAATTTCTAGTTTGTATTGTGGTGGGACGCTACGAGCGAGTTAGCAATTTGATATTTATTCTTGATATTGGCATTATAAATGCTGTTTGTCGCTTGAGGTACATGATATTTTACGTAAATATCATTAAGTTCTCTTTACAAGACGTATTGAATTTTATAAGACTAATAATTATACTAAACAATGATCGGTGAATAAATTTCATTAAATATTAAATGGTGATTTTATTTTAAATAATGTGTTACATAGTGGAAGTCAAAATAAGCTTTTTTAAAGTAGACTTCTTAAAAGTACTTTTTTCCCTACCACTCGTTCAGGACGTCTTTTGGCTGATAAGAAGAATGAGCGAGAAACTCCAGCTCTAATGGGAGTATCGACATTCACAAACCGTGTCATTATCAGATCAATACAATATAATTAGAGAAAAAACTATCTTATAATGATAAACAATAGTTTAATAATGGTAACAAGATAATTCTGAGATATAATCAGTTTAGAAGTAATGACCTATCCTGTTGCTGGACCAGCAACACAATCTAAGTCCAAGCATTCTTATCTGTTGTACTTATAATAAGCTTTCTTAATAGTAGATTTAAACAGCAGCTAATTATTGTATTTTGCTTGGGACTTTATTGCACTTACAGACACCGTTAATTTATTTTTATTTCTAATATTAAAATGGTGTACATTATTTCTTACAAAAAACAAACTAATATTTTTACTAATATTGTTAACCTACTGTAGAGTTGTGAACGTATCACAAATGACAGCTGTCAAAAAGGCAGAGAATTTTGCCGTGTTACTTTTACGCGTCAAGTATTATTTTATAATTATGTTTAGATAGGGCTTCCATTTTTTCCGTGTTGTAATGAGTGAGTAAGACAGTACTACAATTAGCAAGAGCGTAAACAACAGTATATGTTGCACTGTATCTGTCTCGCTCGGTCTTTTTATGATGCAATTTCTCGTGACATATTGTTTATATTTCAGATTACGAATGAAAATCAACTAAAAATGTGTATTTTACGAATAATATGTGATCCCCAAGCCAAAGATGCATAGTTTTAGGATCATAGATCATTGTCAGATCGTGCCAATGAATTTAATAACTAGAGAAGCAATCCCATACAACAGACGCGCCAAAAAGCGTAGCACTTTTCCGAAATTAGGACGTAGCTTTGCAAATAATATTTATACTATATATTATATATAGATTTATTATATTTGTCTCCCTCATATCTACGATTAAACTTTAAATTAAACAAAGACAGAATATGCGCGAACGATAGAATCACAGAACAGATAAAAAGGTAGAACGATTAAGTGGGCGGGGTCGTGCGACCATCCATATGCTCAAAACGGTCATATGAACGTCATGTTACTCAAATTTCTAGTTTATTATTTGCACAATGTCATAGTGGTCTATGGTGCGTCGAAAAATACGAAAATATGCCGAATAGTGCCGGCATTACGAGTCGTTTGCGTAATGAAAATGTAATTCTGAAAAAAGGAGAAATTTCATTTCATCGGTAAGTAACAAATATATGTTATATAACAGTATATCGAGATATAATCACATATTTTTTTCCGTGAGATTGTGTCAGTTGTTAACATAGTGCTTGCAGATATCGATAAAATGCTATCGATAGTACTTAACCCTAATATTATGAATGACAATCAATTTACATGCAATTATAACATTAAATCTATTAAGATAAATAGTTAACAGAAATTTTTTAGAGATTTGTATGTTTTTGCTACATAATAGTGTTAATTTACTATTAAATTTTGTAATTCATTGTGTAATGTGAACAATAAAGAGTTTTGTATTGTATGTTTGTTTTCCTAGAAACCCCATCATAAAAGAAAAGTGGATTGACGCGTGATAGAAATGGTTAATGGTTTCCTTCTAAAACTAGTTACATTTGTTCAACATATTTTTCTGTAAATGATTTCATTAATATTAATATGATAAATTACTTACAAATTTATAATGAAATATTATTATGTATTACATCTAATTTTCTGATTATATTGTCAAATTAAATGTTATATTGGGATATTATTGAAATATAGTTTCAATGAGACATCTTTGTTATTATTTTCCATTCTTAATATATCGTGCTTCATATAATATCGGGTTGGCACAAAAGTAATGAGACACTTGATTTAAGCATTTACTTTTTTATTATTAATACAATAAAAAAAGTTTAGTCAATGATGTAATTACCATTAGTATCTAAGACTTCTTGCCAACGATCCGGCAAAGTTTGGATGCCTTTTGCCCAGAACTCTGATGGCTGTGCCTCGAAAAAGTTGTTCAACTCCGCCTCTACGTCAGAGAAATCATTAAATTGTTTACCCCGCAAATGCTGTTTCAGGGCTCTAAACAAATGATAGTCTGATGGGGCGAGGTCTGGGGAATAAGGTGGGTGGGGTATCGTCTCCCAGCCCAAGTTCTCCAACTGCCGGCGAACCACAGATGCGACGTGAGGTCGAGCGTTATCGTGCAGTAAAACTACATTGACTCGTCTTCGTCGTTTTTTCTTGATAGCGGCAGATAATTTGGTAAGCTGGGTTGAATATTTGTCAGCGTTTATAGTTTCATTGTGTAATAGCTCATAAAACAGTATGCCTTGCGCATCCCAGAAACAGCAAAGCAGAATTTTTCGGCGGTTCTTTTGACTCGGCTTCGGTTGAGTTGGTGGCGTTTCTTCTCGAGGCAGCCAAAAAGCACGACGTGTATCGTTCTCGTAATAAATCCATGATTCATCTCCAGTAACCAGATCTGACAAAAACTCTTTACGTCGGGGTCGCAGCAAAAGTGACTGACAGATAGCGACACGGACTGCACGACTGGCGTCTGTAAGGATGTGCGGTACCCACCGAGCCAAAACTTTTCGATAACCAAGCTCATGCAGATGGTGTTCCACGGCGTGGTGACTGCATTTAAGTGCTTCCGCTAATTCACGAGTGGTAGCATCCGGATTCAACTGCAGTTCGCGGCGCAAATCGTCATCATTCACTGCGGGTGGTCGCCCTGAGCGTGGCTGACTTTCAAGGCTCCTGTCTCCTGATTTAAAACGGTCAAACCATCGGGACACCGTCGCATGGCTTGTACTTCCAGCGCCTAATGCATTGTTGATATTGTCAGCCGCAGCCCGCGCACTGTGGCCTAACAAGTACTCGTATAAGTATAGTGTTCGAACTTGTCGCTCGTCCATTTTTCTTCAAACTGACTAAACAAATCGCGAGCGCGGCTTTATATACCCTACACCAGAAGTACCTAGAATGTTCTACAACATTCTAGAATATTATCGAAAAAATTGATTTTAAAAAGGAAATGTTATAGATTTTTCTAGTGTGTCTCATTACTTTTGTGCCAACCCAATACCTAGTTAGTAAAAAAAAATTTGGATCATTAAATATACAAAAAAAAATAGCTAGGTATCAAAAAATAAAACTATGACTATATAATAGAAAAAAGGCTAATTCAAATTATAAAAATCTAGCCCCCAAGGGGCCAAATTATCATCACTGTCACCTGCTCTTGATATGTGACCCCGTTGCAGCCCTACTTCTGATTAAAACTGACAAAAATCGCAGTTACATTGCTACTTTAGCAAGATAGGAATTGGTCTAATTGATCGAGCCGTTTCAAGTGAAAGTTGATTACAATTATTGTTACGTGATTACATACATATGGTATTTATTTTCATTGAATTTTTTTAGTGAATATGCGAAATGATAAATTAATAAATTATTTTATTATATTAACCCAATATATCAATGATTTTCTGATTATCGATATCAAATTGTGAATCACAGGGCACTTCACTATTTCAGTGTTGACAGAAGCGTAAAATTCTTTGCATTATATTTTGAAAAATTGTTTTAATGCAGATACGTCGTGCAATAACATTTTTATGTAATGAAACATGTATTAGAAATGTTTACACATTAACTAATTTAATATCTGCGCACAAAATATAATATTTAGAACTAACAAAAGTAATTGTGCAAATTTTTATTATAGCTAGCCATACATTTTGTGTATTACTGCAAAATCACCTGTATTAATAGGCTAGTATATACTAATTTTGCTGAAACTTTTGTAGCCAATGGAAGCATCGCTCTCTTTGTGAGCTGAATAGGTGAAGTTTTATGTCTGTGTGATATCTGGCACGCGCGGTCCTAGTACTAATGTTAGTACGTTATCATTCTAACCTTTTTATCTATTCTGTGGATAGAATGAACGGAAAAATGGGTGATTGATATTGTATTGCCAGCTGTCGAAAATTTCACCCATTGTGATGAATGGATGAATTAACGAGTAGTGTAGATATATGTATAAAATCAATTTGTAAAATACTGTAACTTTGAAAATTTCTTTGAATAAACTTTGAAAAAAAAAAACAATCACAAAAGTAGGCTCTGTGCATATATATTCCTTTGTTTTTCGATAAAGGTAGTGGTTAAGACAAAAGCATTTGTCAAAGTTCATAAAACATCAAACAAAGGTTAAATTTTACGTATTTTCAAAAGTTGTATCTCGATAACTAACGAATTCCACGCATTGAAAAAATTAAATCTCATTAGCATCTGTGTGCGTGTATAAAAAAATTATCAACACAATTAGCGCAGTTGCCTATACTTAAGCTGAGCTATATAATTAGTTATAAAAAGGTATTTAGATAAATTATAGCCACGTTAAATAAAAAGAAAAGGCTCCCATATACTTGGGAAAATTGAAAGTGAATAGCAGTGGCAACACTGACGACAAAATGTTGAAATTTTATTTGTGAAAATTAAATATTTTTATTTTATAACCTAGCTTTAATTTTGTATGTATTGCCAAAAATGTTAATGATTTAAGTGTGAAACTTAACATTCTTTCGTATTATGTGTATTTGTGAAAGAGAATCGTATTTTATCTACTGTTTTTCTTTGTTTTTGCGGAGCATTTTTTTGTACTTTCTTGGCGGGAGTTGAATGAGTAATGAAGTGAAAAACGAAAAAAACTAAGACAAACGTCTTAGTTTTAGTAGCTTCAGATTTTTGGTATGTATTGCGTATCTAGACATATTAATATCATTGGATCGTGCCTATGAAGGTTTTGATATCCGATGGTAAAACGGGTATAGAGAAAGACCAGGGAGCTTTTAGATCACATGAGTTTATTTACCACCAAAATTATATATATATACTTTATAAAAATATAAACAGCACCGACAACAGCTTTACGAAGAGAGACATTCATATAATTATATAAACAATAGACGCGCATGTGCAGAACAGATTGTCAATATTTAAATTAAAATGATCTTAAACCAAGAAGAAGGTCTCCCTCAACAGGTTTTGGGTTATAATCTAGGGTTTTTAGTATATTCTTTGTAAAATCTACACGGATTAATATCACGATGGAATTTACACAATGGACCAGCAGAATTACTGCCTTTCGTTTAAAAAGTAATTCCATTGCAAGAAACCGTCATTCGCGTAGCAAAAGCCAATGTTTCAAATACCTTATGCCTTTTCTGGGGGGTTTTGTGTTAGGGCAAGTATACTATCGCTACATACTGATGAAGATAGCCTTCCCTTCGAATTTGGGCTTCTATTTAGCTCTTTGTTTAAGTTTATTTTTGGGTAAGTTGTAATTTACTAAGTGATTTATGCTTTAACAGAGAGGAACAATCTCTAATGGCGTATTGTACTAGTAAATGTTAATCCAGGCTAAGAATGATCAGAATGTTAATGTACGACCTACCGTCTTTATTTTTGTAAAAATATATTTACAAACCACGTTCATACATATCAATGATTCTATCACTGTACTATTGCTATATGCTACTACCTACATTGTACCCTAATTTGCATTACAAAGAAACATCAATGCCACGTGAACGGTGTCCGTAGGGTAGTCATAATATAAACTTGTATAAAGAAATTGGTTAAAAGATCGTCTGATAAAAATATTTAAATATTTGCTTATGCTTACATTTTTGATTTGGAAATATAAAAGTAAATTGTTTTTGCTTGATTTTAATTACAGCTTATTGGCGTTATTCTTTTGTACAAAATCAATTAAAAGTTAAGGATTTTGGGTTTAACTACTTAGGTCGCGGGAGTAAGGACCATATGTATGTAGGTAGTCACTGTCTTGCTAAATCAGAATGTAAAATATTTTGTAAAGACATCAATTTGTGTAACACTTGGACTTTATTGATAATATGTTTTTTGTAGCTTTCAGCAATGTAGTGTGCATGCAACTGCAATGCATTTCTTTGCTGACGTTACTTATGTACTGTGGTAAGCCAGGCCGCGGCGTTCTCAAGGTCTTAGTGCTCACATATGTGATTGCCGGTAATAATACTTCTGTTTCACTTTCTGGGCATTGATATTGTGTGGATCGTTGTACCCTAATAAATAGTTGGGAGAAACGATACTTAGCGTGCATTATGGGCGTAAAGATAAGTCTGCTTTAGGCTATTTCATTATCATCATTTGCCTATTAATGACCCTAGTATGGAGGCACAGAAAAGGCCATGAACCAACTCGCGAGAGCAATGTGGATTAGTGGGTGTTAACAGCAGCACCCGGTGTCAACAGCATAACGTGCCTTTGAAGCGCGGAGGAGTTCAAGATAATATATTTTTTGGTCACCTACGATCGTCCCTTGAGAAAGTTAAGTAACTATCGCATCGCAGATCAAATGCACTAACCACTGCAGGGACGAGCTCCTGAGATTCTCTAATGGCAAAAACGGCGAATAATTTAATGTGTGTGTATCTGTACTTTGGGTAACTGTTAAATGTGAAATAAATGAATTTTAATACAATATTGATAATGACTAATTCTACAAAGTGACATACGATACAATTCCAGTTCTATTTTAGCTGGAATTGTAGAATAGAAAAACCATTAAAAACTGTAGTTTCGTTCGGTTTCGATCCGTTTTCGATTCAATTTAAACAAGATTTAGTAGAATTGGCCTCCAGGCAACCCCTGCAAACAGTCGAAAGAAATATTACTACAAATATGTTTTAAATGTATTCTTATCATTATATTAGTTGAAATGTATATTTACAATGCCCAAAGCTCATAAACCTTGTGTATTAATAACACTGTATCAGTGTTATTAAGTTTTAGCATTGAAATAAATTTAGGCTGAGACTGCATTTAGTATTAGTTAAAATTCATTTTATTAAACAGAGACTTAGCAATGGTTAGACTAGTGCGAGGTTCTAATGGAGTAATATTTACTCCTAAAAGTTAGTAGGTTTGCTTATTCTTTCCTTAATATGAATTTGGACTAATACTAAAATTGCAATTTAAGCTTAAATTTACTCTAACGCTAATTTTTTTAAATAGTATTGTTAATACGCGCTTTGTTTATTAATAGTATTGTTAATATATTCACGCTATTCTAATAAATATGTCGGTCATCATCGGCCCTGTTACGTCCCCATTGCAGGGGTTCAGGCCTTCCTTAAGAATGGTTAAGGAGGTTTGGCCATAACCCTACACGCTGGGCCAATGTGGATTGGAGGGTTTTAACAACTGCAAATACAGTCGGGACCAAAGGCTTAATGTGCCTTTCGAAGCACGAGGAAGTTCGATTAAAATTATTTTCGTCACCCATCGCGTGACCGACCTTTGCGAAAGTTGCTTAACAACAGTGATCACTGGTCGCGGCGCTTATACACCATTGAGCTAGTCATTATATTTCTACTCTACTGTACTCTATTATCATTAGTGTCAGTATAAAATCAGTACAGTAAAGCAAAGTTATTAAAATATAATAATAATATATGGTTCATATCTGTTTTATTGTATAGGTCCCATCACGAACATGGGTTTCAACGCGAAGGAAATAGTGAGAGTGTATGCGTGCAGCACATACCTGTCCCAAAACCTTAGCGGTGCCAAATTTGCTGTGTTAGGTGCGCCGTTTAGGAGTGCTGTATTCAGCCTGACGCCGGAAATAAGTCAAATGAAAGATACAATTAGGTAAAATATAGAATAGAATATCACTAATCAATATTGTTAATTTAATATAAATAATTATATGTGAGCAATAGTGTCTACCCAAGTAGCAAAATTCAGTACTATAGAAGTCTCAAGAACGTTATAACGCATGCTAATCACTTTTATAATCATGTTGTAAGCCCTAAATGCTCTTTAATATTATGAAATTAAATCGCTCTGTTGATAACCGCTATAGTACAACCAGTTGCAATAGTTACTATTTCTTTACTAGGTCTTTTTTATTAACTATAGGCCTTAGTTATGGAAGATCATTTTATTTGGGATATCTATCAATCAAACTCTTTTCTGTGTTCTGTGGATAAATCAATCAGATAACCTTATCTCGTCGTGACTTATTGCTACCATTATATTAGCTAAGGTAAAGCCCCCATTAGTATATGTAAAATCTAAAACACGGTGCACATTCTGTTGTACCACTCTCCAAACGAAACAAAACTAACAAATAATCTTACTTTAATTTGGATTTGTTATTTATAACGTTATCTGTTATTATTGTGTAATGAATTATAGAAATACTTATAATTATAGTCTTATGCACCATAATTTAATAAGTTCACTTCTATTATCTGGGTTATTTTTACAATTTAAGGTAGTTTGACAGTGCTAAATCTGAATTAAGTCTAGTTTATGCAAAAGAGTTGTATACAATATAGAAAAAAAAAAATTACATATCTTTTTTGATTCGACCGGTCATCGAAATCGGGACTATAAGTTTTTGGTCAGCACTCCGATGATCAGCCGACTCATGCAAAAGTTACATGAGAAGTCAACTATCGCAGGTTAGGTTAGAATGCAACCTATAATACGATCTAACCTAACCCAAACCTACGGTAGTTTAGTCTTTTAGAAGACTAATAATTCAAGTTAAACTATAAACTGACGATATTTTCAATTTTATGTTGACATTTATATATTATAGATTTATATCTAAACTAATATTTAAAGATTTGGTTGTTTGGTTGCTTTGAATCGGCGAAAATCGTTCGCGGGTGACATATGGTATAATTTACGCAGTCACTAGAAAACTGTTAGTAACATAAGTATATTTATTAATTCAAACACAATTACCTTTACAGATCTATTCAAGATGTCATACATCCAATACATATTGAAATTGAAGACCTCGTAGAATATAACATTACGTCGGTAAATGAAAGTTCAAAAAAGCTATTAAACCGGAATAGGTAAGAGTAAATATTGTTTGTACTAAATAAAATAATGTTAAAACAAGCTTTTCATGGAGTGTAATAAACTATACAATATTAATTGTTAATTATATCTAAAATTATGAAATTATGAACTTTATTTGTTAAAAAAAGCTGTAAAAAGTTAAAAAACTAAAATATTTATCACATTATTGATTACTAGCTTTCGCCAGCGGCTTCGCCCGCATGGTCCCTAGGGAAATGTTGAGTGGGATAATAATTCCTATTATCTAAGTCAGCTAATACCTTATCTGTATACCAAATTTCATCAAAATCCGTTCATTAGTTTCGGCGTGAATGACCGATAAACATCCAAACAAAGAAACTTTCACATTTATAATATTAATAGGATTGTTTGTGTACCAAAATTTGACTTAATTTGTTTAAAGTTTGCATTGCGATTTATCAATGAAAACATTATCTTCTGCCTTGTTTCGTTAGTCGACGGTGACGAAAACGACATCCTATTACTAAGACAACTGTCCGTCCATCTGTCTGTTACTAGACTATATCTGAAGAACCTTGACAGTTACAGCCAGTTGCACAAACGTCTATTAATTTTTTCATTAGTTTAAACAACATTACCCATACAAGTTTGTCATTCATTAGAGCTTAAAGGCGTCATTAAACCTTAATGGATGTTTGTGCAACTGACCGTTAGACAGATCTAATTTCACAGATGATACCTATTTGTTGTTGATGATAAATATATGTTGTCGTTATAACAGTAAAGGCTAAAAATCAAATCGCACTCGATCATTCAATTTATTACCTACCTGCCGGATAAATAAAAATAATTTTTTTAAGTCATCAGTTTTATATTATACATACTTAGAAATAGTCCAACAGTGAAAGACCAAGAATTGTATGGGAAACGTTACTACAAGAAATTGGAAATGCGCTGTGAAAAACTTACGGAGCGCGCGGTCGCGTTCTGTGCTAACATTTTCACTTCCACTTATGAGCAGTGCATAGACGAGATAAGTCCTGTGTCATCCTGGGTTCTGTGTCGACCGATGAAGCTGACACATATATGTAACTTGGCGGAATTCATGGGGGGTTTCAATATTTGTGACAGTACAAACCAGGTAAAACTTCAGAGGTGCTATCCATATAATATGTAAATACTAGTTTTCTGGATCTGAATCATCTTTATTATATTAGGGGTAAAAGTATGAAATTGCCGTTTAATTGTAAAAGGTTCCTTGAATTGCCTTAGAATCTTCATGGTTTGAGGTTTTCGAAAGAAACTTTTTTCAGATGGTTTCTATGATGTTCTTCTTTTAAAAAACGTGAAACATTTGAAAATCGACTTTCAATTGTTTTTGTTAGAAAAGAAAGATGGACACAGTGATTTTTGAATACAAATTCCCACGCGGAAGTAACGCGGCAGAAACAGCCCACAATATCAATGTTGCGGTGGAGACGGGTCTGCTAATTAACGCACCGGGCGATTATAGTTTTAACGCTTTCATGATGTAAACTTCGACTTGAAGAACGAGCCACGAGGAAGACCGCCCACACAGGTGAATAATGATGAATTAAGAGAGATGGTGGAAGCCCGCTAGTCAAACAACCCAGGAATTAGCGGCGTGGTTTAATGTTACCTTACTCATAATATTGACTCATTTGCGTCAAATCAATATAATAAAAAAATACGAAAAATGGGTTCCTCATGATTTGACTGATCAGCAGAAAGAAACACGTGTTGAAACTAGTGTTGCCTTGTTGTGTTGAAACTAGTGTTGCCTTGTTGTGTTGAAACTAGTGTTGCCTTGTTGAATCGGTACAGAAATGAAGGAATATCGAAAAAAGGAATATCGATTCAAAAGTCGGGGCTGTTTTACTGCTAGTTTTGCCAACATTGTGCCGAACTCCAAACAATGTTGGCAAAACTAGCAGTAAAACAGTCCCGACTTATAAATCGATCTTCACCATTATTGCTCCATGACAACGCGAGACCTCATACAGCACGAGAAACCGTTTGGACCTTCAGGAACTGCAGTTAGAAGCCATTCGTCATCCTCTGTATTTACCAGACCTTGCTACAACGGACTACCATTTTTTTCGTGATTTGGAAAATTATCTACGTGACAAGAAGTTTTCTTCCCAGGAGGCAGTACAAAATGCTTTCACAAAGTTTGTGCAGTTTAGATCCTCAAGATCCTCAAAGTTCTATCGCAAATGCATAAATGAGCTTCCTATTAGATGGCAGCAATGTATAGATAATAATGATAACTACTTTGATTCAAGAAATTTGTTAAAAATTAAAAAATGAACAATTTTGATTTTCAATACGAATCGGCAATTTCATAAGTATAAGTAATAACGAGAGCAAATATTTTAAATCAATATACAAGAATTTGGAGTAAAAATTGTCAAATTTTAGAATAAAACAGAGCACTTCCGTAAAAATCCAGACCCGATTAATCTTGTTCTATATTTTTATATAAACACTTACTATTAGCTATTTACGGTTCATAATTCATTCAGATTCTCGTCTATTAGTTATGAATATTTACTTGAGTTATTGCTTATAAAAAATAATACTGAAGTAATAACTTTTACTTTACATTTATAGAAGAATAAAAAGAATTGGAATATTTCTTTTATTTTTTTAGTTTGTTTCGTGATTTTTTTGGTTGTTAAGTAAAGACAACCATAAAACAGTTAAAAATATATAATAATTTAATTCATGCTATAACTTCTTCAATATTAGAGTAATCCAGGTCTTGGAGAAGGGTACATTGCTTTGAAAAATTCAATGCAGATTCTAACCAGGAACAGAGATGTTTTCATTCAACATAGAATCAAATGTCTACATCAGCTTTTTAATGTTCAGGTAAATAGATAAAATAAGTAAACTTTAATATTAGATTATTTTATTTAGTCTGTCTCGTTAGATTATGAATTATTGGTGCGTTAGGTTAGTCTATAATTTTTAATGCTCGGGAATTATCAATAATGCCTTAATTTTTCACTTGTATATTTATAATATAAGGATGCAAAGGAAACTGGGGACAGAGTGATGCACGCTTTCGATGAGAAATTTATAATTATGAATATGGTTAAGACAGCGGTGAATGTGTGCGTGGCGGTGCTGTTCCTCAGGATATTTACTGCAGCTGTCGCATACCACGAACAGTACCTTACTAATATTGAATACGATAATGTCTACATAACGGGACGATTCAAGAAAATAGATAGAAAGCGGAAAAAGAGGAATCAACTAACAATTTTGCCTCTCAAAAAGGTATATGGTGTTTAATCTTTTTTGAGCAAAAAGTTGCATTGTTGTAAACTAAGGTTATAGGATAATTTTAGATGTTTGCAGCATACATATATAAATTAGTTCATTTTTGTATTGAGATAACAAACCAATACTACGGCAATTTACGCTACTACGGCAACTTACTACGGTGCTATTGTAATGTGCTATGCTACGATACTTACTCTGCTTTATTTATTGCTACGAAATTACTTAAAAATAATATTTGAAAATCATAACTTATAGATATTATGTCCAGTTTTACGAAATGTACCGCTGACCAATTTTCAAAACTATTTTTTTATTAGACAATGTTTTGAGGTGGTCCTATTTAAATTTTATCGAAGTAGAATCAGTTTTTATCATTTTATAATAAAGCAAAATATCAAATAATGTCTGAATATTTTGATATAGGCATGTTTATATCAGCGAAAAAAAAAATAACATTTTTGCATTCATTAAAATCCGAAAGAAGAATTTTACTATGTTCACCATGTATATATCGAGGGTTGCCTGGTGAAACCCAATAAGTGACAAAAAGTTAGATTTTAAAGTAAAAACAGTTTTAGACTGATTCGGTATCGCTTAATCTAATGGTAATATCAGATAAGCGGAATTGACACGCATTCCGGAAATATTCCGAGTTATTAACCCAATAAGTACTTGATTTTAAGTTTTAATTCAGAACTAAATACTACAAGTACATTTAAGACTTCAGTTTTTAGTAATACTTAGTGGAAGAATCCCACAATACACATTTATAGGTATTTAGTGCAGAGATTTGTACACAAAATGACACTAAACACACAGGGTAAAACCAGTTACTATTACTTACCTGATGTTACCTTATTACATATCGGTCCTTAAATGGACTTTAGTTAGAATTAGAATACGTTAAAAGGATTTGTTGGATTTTACTGTTACGATATTATTTAATAAACGTACAAACTACTTAAAATAAAAACCCGATAAACAAACTAATCTCAAATATCCATCTGAAATCTACAAGAAATATTATGATAAGCCTAGTTATTGGAATTTGGCACAGGTCTTTGACAAAGTTCTTTAAAAAGATGTCCGGGAAAGAACCCGGTAAGTACGTTCGACAAGGTCATGCGCCCCGGCGCCGCGCGCCGACGCTACTGTAGTATATGGCTGTATAAAAGGATACCTTTGTTTGATATATAAAAAAGAACAAGGATGTTTCTCTCTCTCTCTCTCTTGTAGGGTCAGGGAGGCAACAGTGACTCACTTTTTTTCCAAAGCTTGAAAAAAATAAATATGGCTCTAACATTGGCCTAAAATTTGCTCACATTTTAGATACACTATTGAACTGTAACTGAGCACTCATGATTTTCCATTATTTACTACTTAAGTGAAAGTAGGAACCTAAAACAAAAAAATGATAATTGAGCCACTGTGGACAACTAGGTGTACACACTGACTCACTACCGTGGTACACAGTGGCTCTAGTGGTCCACAGTGATTCGGCAGTATGAATAAGAAAAGAAAATGCCCATTCCATATAGATCTTTTATTAGTAATAATAAAAAAATGTTACAAGCTACTTTTATAATCAATCAACACAACTCTTAGAACTTTTAATGCTAAATAATCAGATCTTAAGTCATCTCGGTCTCTTCGTTAACAATTTTAGTCTCTTTTTATCGATTAACAACCTATGGTAACTATTCAAATCAAAATTATTCAAAATAATAACATATATAATGATGTATTAACATCTGTTACCCATAGAAAATACTATGTTTTAAGCAATCAACGATAACGATAACCATTTGGGTTACATATGGTTTATGAAAAACAACATAACATAATTAAAACAACAATCATTTGCATTATCTTCAGAGTAATAAAAAGTATCAACTAATTTCTAATAAATGATAAGACGAGTAAAATCAATCGGGAAAGTGTAGAATGGCCTAGAAGACGTACCAACTACTGTAGGCTTTGGAAGAATATATTTTATATCATTTTCCTTCACAAGGGAAAGATCCGGTTTAACAGGCATATGGAACTTATAAGTACCTGCCTTGCGTTTCAAAAATGATACATAATATTCAAGATCATTATTTCTTTCTTCTATTACCTTCCCAATATACGAGGGTCAAACTGAAAGTTCTTAGAAAATCAAAAACTGATTACATTAGCCAGTTATTAGTTTTATTATATCTTTTCAAAATATTGTCCATTCACGTCAATACACCGCTGCATGCGATGGAACCACTGGGAAAAGCACTTTGCCACTCGTCCTTAGGGGTCTCTTCAATGGCATCGCGATACGCAGCCACCGCTTCTTCAGCATTCATAAACCGCTTTCCTTTAAGTTTTTCTTAAATTTTTGGAAATAAATAAAAATCACAAGGCGCGAGGTCGGGGCTATACGGCGGGTGACCCAGTAATTCAACGTTTGATGTCGCCAAATAGTCGATCGTTCGCTTGGCGGTGTGCGACGAGGCGTTGTCGTGGTGAAGGAGGATCCTACTGCGAGGTCGTTTCTCTCGAACTTTTTCCAAGACAAGTGGCAAACAATTGGTAGTGTACCATTCTGCAGAAACTGTTTTTTGATCCTCTAACACAATTGTTGCAAAATGACCTATCCTTCCAAAGAACGAGGCCACCATTTTTTTCCCGCACTTCGATCTCTCTTCACTTTAGTTGGCAACTCCTCGAAAGGAAACACCCACTGAGCAGATTGTCTTTTGATTTTAGGATCATAACAGTAAATCCAGCTTTCGTCACCTGTTAGTATGTCGAACACAGCATTTGAGTCACCTCCGTTAAATCTTTCAATCATTTTACGACACCAATCCACACGATGGAGTTTTTGAGCCTCAGTCAAATTATGAGGTATCCACCGGGCGCAAAGCTTCCTGACCGCTAAATGTTCGTGGAGGATTTTGTGCACTTGACTCATACCGATGCCTAAGCTTGTCCGAATCTGTTGATAGGTCACTATTTTGTCAGTCTCTATCATACGCCGCACAACACAGATGTTATCTTCAGTCGTCGCCGTAGAAGGCCGTCCCTCACGTAAATCATCAGTGAGATTAGTGCGACCACGTTTAAACTCATTAAACCAGTTGTAAACAGTCGCACGAGATGGGGCTTCATCGTGAAAGGCCAATCGTAGTCTATCATAACTTTCTTGTTGACTTAAATGACATCGAAAGTCATAAAAAATCATTGCACGAAAATTTTCTCGTGTTAAATTCATGATGACGTGACACAGACAATTTTCAATTTGCCGCCAAATCGTAAAACAAATGACAAATGAATGAAATATATACTCAGTAATATTGGCAAAGAGTTATATTTTCAAATTTTAGAATTATTTTTTTATTATATTGTTTATAAGTGGCCAGTTCTAAGAACTTTCAGTTTGACCCTCGTATAACAACCTCTGCTTTTTAGTTGCCAATTCGACTATAACATATTCTCCTTCCTTGGGTGGATGAGGTAATGAATTCTTTAAATCTTTTTCTCTTAGAATATTCTCATTATTATCTTGATCTTCTGCTGGTGATTCAAGCCATCCATCGTCATTGTCGGATTCTGCTAATTGAACTTCATTAAGGCCCTCTGTTTCGTCGTCGCTATCTAATATCGTTCATATAATTTTACTTTTCTTTGCATCGGTCTTTCTTTTAACCGCATTTTTTTGCTCTATCAAAGTTTTTTCCGGCGTGTCGGTAAGTATCAAACTACGTCCAGGCTTCCTTCGTTTCCTGTTAGTTTTTCTCGGACCAGCTTTTATAGGATTTCGAAAATCAAAAGGCGATTTGAAAGACAGTTCTTTGGCTCTCTTTGGTGGTGTGTTTTCGTTAGTAGAATCTGGAAAATTGACTGATAGATTCTGAGATTTGGATTGTCCAGAAAAGTGAGCAGTTTGATCAAAAATTGGTTCAGATATTTCTTTTGCATCATTAGCTTTGTTTAGATTGATTAGAACGGGAGATGACATATTTAAATCAAGTGGCGTAATAAAATTTGGTTCAGCTGTTTCTACAAGAGCATCAAGATCAAGATCATACTTATGGAGTCAGGTGTTGAATTACCTTTATCCTGTAGATCTTCTGGACAAGGACGGTCTGTCACCGAACTAGGAAGGAAGTCTTCCTCCGTGAAAATGTGTCGGTCAAATGGATAAATACCACACTTTGCGAAGGCGTTTGTAATATTTCTTATCGTGATTGCCTTTTCAAAGGCTGATCCGATTATTTCGCCCAAATCATAAATTGTTACAGGTTTTCCCGGATTTCGCAACAGCCAGGAGTCAATGGCAGCATTGTAGTATGTTTTGAACGGACCATAGATACCAACGTCTAGGGGCTGCAACTTATCCGATGTATGGGGATGAAGAGTCAGAATATGCACTCCCACATTTTTGGCGATATCCAGAGCTTCTAGACTTAAATGTGATTCATGGTTATCCATGATTAAAATGCATGGATTTTCTTTCGAAGCATTTGTACGTTTGACGAAATGTTTCATAACCTCCGGAAATATCGACGAATTCGTCCATCCGGTAGGTGTAGCCAATCCGAGAGTTCCCGCTGATGTATTTTTAATCATGTGATCTTTTAAATTCTTTCTAGGAAAGACCATGACTGGAGGCAAGAAATTTCCACTGGCACTCACGATACAGCACGTCGTAACTAATGTCCCTCTTTCTCCGCTAGTCACCTTACCAATAACTTTTCGACCTAATGGGGCTAGCACTTTTTGTGGTTTTTGTACAGTCGTCGTGGATGTTTCATCCAAGTTAAATATCCTGGTTCCATCAGAGAAAGCGCTGTTTCGTGAAATCAGATCTTCTAAATTGTCGTAAAATTTCCCGACATTGCTTTGATTGAAAGCTGTTGCCCTACTAAGGCTGCATGGTTCAGGCTTTTTTAATGTGATATTATGTCTGCGTCTAAATGAAATTAACCAATCCTTGCCAGCCATTTGCTTCGTCTCCCAAGAGGCAGGCATTTTCAAATTATTTATTTTAGCACACTGATATGCTACTTTTCGACTTTCTTTGGCGGTCAATCCATAAAACAAAAGAGCACAGTGCGAATAATAGTTTTTAAGTGCAATCTCTTGGCTATTGGTAAATATTTTATTGACCGAATAGTTAGGTTCTAACTGAATGGGTAACAATTCATCAAGTGACTCACAGTTCTTGGTCTTCCAATAATACCTTTTAAGTGTATAATGCAAACGGTACATTAACTTTTGTTGATGCTTTTCTTATAGATTCTCCGGTCCTTATAAATTGCAAACCTTCTTTAATTTTTTCATACGAAGAGTTTTTTTTCGTGGCATTCTATAAATAAAATAACAAAATACGATTAAAAAGTTAGAAAAATATTGAATTTACATAAGCTACAAAAGTACTGAAATTGAGCCACTGTGTACCTTTAAAAATTGAGTCACTGTGTACTTCTACGCCATTTTGAAAACGTTTGATCAAAGCATCCGAGATGTAAAACATAGAAGTCAAAATACGGGTTAAAGACAATTAATACAAAACTTACTATCCGATAAATATGATGGCTATTACATATAGCAACAAACAAAGATATGAAAACAATCGAAACTCACCTTAGAATGTAATTTAGTGGGCGCGAAAACTGAAATCACTCTCTCACACTTCCGCACGGCGCTCGACCGGCGAGCAAACTGGTTTAAACGTGCTCGGGTACCAAGACCTTCGAATCGGTACAAGAGACAAATATATATTCCTATCCCTTTAGGTCGGCACACGGCTGAGCCACTGTAGCCGACCGAGTCACTGTTCCTCAAATATTTTATGGTTTTATTAATTACAAGTCACAAATACAACATGGCGCTGCGAATAAATGGTTAAAATTTTGTGTTGGAACTGTCGAAAAGAAAAATTCGTCATGGAAGACAGAAGTGTTGTTGGATTAAAACCACCACAACCACTAACCACGTTGTCGGTAAAATCGTATAAAAAATGGATTCAATTATTTGAATTATACCGCAAAGCGTCTAGGATTTCGTTCAAGGAAAATGAAACACAAACTGCTGTTTTGCTGCACTGCATGGGTGAGCAATGTATTGAGATTTATAATACGTTTAGTTTGGACGAAGAGAGCAAAAATGATTATGAAAAGGTGTGGACCATTTCAATAAGCATTTCATCCCATTAAAAAATGAGTGTGTTAATTCGCATATTTTTTCACTAGAAAACAAAAAGAGAGTGAAAAAATTGATTTTTATGTTACTGAACTCAAGAAGTTAGCAGCTGAATACAAATTTGGTGAGTTAAAAAATAGATTGATCCGGGTCCGTATAGTAGTAGGTATAACAGACCACAGACTACGTGACAGATTATTAAGGGCAACCGAGTTACCCCTATGGAAATGTATATTATTGTGTAAATCTGCAGAAATTGTAAATGAACAAGCACAAGAGGTTCCAGTCATCAGAAATTATCGAGGTAAACCCAGTGTACAAAAAGAAAATTGTCCCTGCAAGAAAAATAGATCTAGGAAGGAGTGATGACAATTAAGATCACCGAAGAGGAGGTGCAATGATGTGTACAAAATGTGGGAGTCGACATGCAAAAATGAAGTGTCCGGCCTACAACAAAAGATGCTTCAAGTGTAATATGTTTAACCATTTCCAGTCAATGTGCAAGAACAAGAAGAATAATAAAAAGGTAAACGCAGTTAATGATGAACAAAGTGATAATTTGAATCAGAATGGGTCTTGTAAGAATAAATTGTATAAGTAAAAAATAAAAATGTATGGCAGGAAAATGTAAAATTTGTCTGTAATAATAAAATTGTAGTAGTAAAGCTAGATACTGGTGCTCAGTGTAGTGTTATATCTGAAAATTGAGTAATTATGATGGTTCAATAATAAAAACAGTTGGTAAAATTATTAAGAAATGTCAAATTAGAAACATGATTGTTGATGTTGAGTTTCAAGTGAGTAAAGACGATTGTGAATCAGCGATAGGTTTACCAACTATTATAAAATTGAATTTACTGACTAAAATTTCTAAAATTGATTTTAACAATGATATTTTGTCAAAGTATGATGATTTGTTTACGGGTTTTGGAAAAATAAAAGGTTATGAATATAAAATAAAATTGAAAAATGATGCAGAAGGAAAAGTTAAACCATGTAGACATGTTCCATTTAAATTAAAAAAAGAATTGGAAATGATGGAAAAAATGATATTCTTAGTAAAGTAGTAGAACCTACTGAATATGTAAATTCTTTGGTAATCGCAGCAAAACCAAATGGTGACATTAGGGTATGTCTTGATCCGCAGCATTTGAATAAGCAAATATTACGTGAACATTTTATGTTGCCTACATTAGAAGAAATAACTTGTAAGTTCAAAGGAGCTACAGTGTTTAGTACATTAGATGCCCATAAAGGTTTTTGGCATGTGATTTTGTCGCAAGCGTCTAGATCACTAACTACATTCAATACACCTTACGGAAGGTATATGTTTAACCGTTTACCCTATGGTTTGAACTCGAGTGCAGAAGTTTTTCATAAATTGTTTTCACAATTTTTTTCTGACATAGATGGGGTAGTAATATTCATAGATGATATTTTAATTTTTGCTGATTCTGAGTCAAGTCATGATCTAATATTAAAAAGAGTTCTAGATAGAGTCAGAGAATATAATATAAAGTTGAACAAGGAAAAGTGCCAAATAAAATATAGCATTTCTGATTGGAAAAATATCTTTAGATTTGCTAGACGTAAAAAAACTAAGTTGGTTACCACTGACGATGGAAAGAAAAAAATTGAAATTGATAGCTATAACGTGAAAGAGTTTAAATTTAACGAGATGTTGGACTTGAAAAAGCTAAATACTGTTATAATTAATAATAAAAACAAAGATACCATGGATGAGGCCATGAACTGGCTGAAAATTAAAAGGATACGTTATATAAAAGGGGACTTAAAAAATTATTTTAATTACGACATGTCTGAGGATTTACGTCAGTTGGATTTTTCAATAAAAAAACCAAATACACCTAGAACAAGAGCTAAGAAACAGTCTAATCCACCATCAGTCGCAATACCATGGCCAGAAGAGTAAGAGTCAAAATACAGTAGTCAGTTACCTATAAGCATTGCTAAGAAAAAAGATTTAGAAACCATGTGCAGGAAACAAATTATACTTGAGGAGTATCATGGATGGATAAGAAGCCTAAAAACATTCGTCGGTAAAGCACCAAATTATTCAGATGAAGAATATTTATACTGTTCTCACTATTTTATTCAACATTTTTTTAAATTGTTTTATTTTTAGTAAAACCTGTTAGTGGCATTAATGGCTTTTTTATTTCTGCGTAAACCCAATAAATCGAGACCCCTTGACATAAAACATCGTTTTACAATAAAACTAAATGGGTTACGTAACAAAAACACAAATTAATTTAAAGTAGATAAAATTACCTTCCATGAAGAACTTTTAAAACTACGAATTTAACTATGAAAATTAGTGTTAGATGATCATAAACCTTTAACATCGTTTTTCTCAAAACTAGGTTTCTCATACTTATTGGGTTTCACCAGGCAACCCTCGATATGTTTTTTTATGTAAGTGTGTTCATCGAATCATGAATGAATTTCTTTAAAACCAGTTGTTTTCCCGCGACTTCGCCTGCGTAAATAATAGCCTATGTCCCCTGCGTATTATGTAGCTTCCCGTAGAAGATAATTTTATAAGACCTTCTCTAAGACTGTCACTATGTTGACATTTTTTTAATTTAGATATTTATTATTTTTAGGGTTACCTATCATATAAAAATAGCAATATGAGCAAAAAGCATGAAATAATTTTATTTAAAAAAAAATAGAACTGAGTTTATGTTTAAAAAAGTGAGATTATGTTTAAACAAGTAAGGTATACTTAACTGCTGCGACTTTTGCCAAGAAATTGCCATTGAAGTCGGGCGGCTATCTTTTAATTAAGAAGTAAACAAACTACAGAAAACCTCCGCCTGAGTTCAATAGCAGTTTCTTAAATAAGTTGCTTTTAAGATGAGTGTTTTTGTCACTTTTTAAAGTCGTTTTATTTTAATTTGTTAATGTGTGTGTGATTGTATGTGCGTGAATGATATTATTCAACTTATTAATTAGGTCCTTCTTTTACATTATCTTACTAGATGGAAAGAAGTAGATACGTAGATGTCCACTCTCTGCGCTATGTGACCGAGAGAGACAACCTGGTGACGCACATATTGAAAGTGTTGCTTGAGGTGGTGACTGCCACGACCTTCGTGATGCTGGACCGGTTATTCTACGAGGCCCTGGACGTGGTTAGACAGCACGCGGAGACCGAATTGCCTAAGGGAGAATCCAGGAATTTGGAGATCGAGGTTTTGGATGTTTGCCATTTATACTCAATAGCGTAGTTCGCGCATTCGGTATGTGATTTGAAGGTATAAGTAACTCTCGCAAAGGCCGGTCATAGTAAATCACCCCAAGTGGCTTTGTTTGGTAAGATATTTTAGCCGTTCGTTCCAGCCTTCACCATCATCATTATTTAAGTAAAGGAGTTAATCCATCGACCCATTATTCCGCACTGGGGCCACGTGGTAGTTTATGGACCGTTCTTAATATTTCTAGACAATTCTTGCAGCAGTGGGAACATCAATTGATTGAAGATAGTGATGATAACCTTTTTTTACATATTTCCATCTCTTTTTAAAATTCTCTATCTGATACTAAGGCAAGAGTCAGGGATATTAGAAACAATGTCAGCCGTTTTTCCATGAAATTTTTCATTAAAAAATATATCTCCCAAACACATGTAAGAAACAAATAGCCCACTATGGACCCTGTCTCAGTTGAAGTTTCTGCGTTCTCTATATATACTTAAAACTTAATCCGTGTAATTTCAAAAACAGACTAACATAAGTTTATATCAATATCCGACTAAAATTAATCGATACGTCTCAATTTGATGCGAGGGCAAATCCACGCGGATGGTAAAATATCCTTACTAATGTACGCATTCCTTTATCTTAGGTGGATGGTTCTGGAACATTAGCGAACATGGTTCGCACCGTTTTGGGCGGTCTCAACGTGGACGCGTTTACGAAACAGAACGTTAGCAACCACTTGTGCATACCTCATCCTCGGCTCATACCCTCATCGTTTTACATCAAGATCTACGGTGGATACTTGTGGATATTGTTACTGCTCTACATTGATCCGTTCACAGTACGATTAAGAAGGTTCTAATTTTTTATTCTCTATAAAAGTCTGAAGGTAAAAGCTAAAATAATTGTAAACGCCAGTTAGCTAATTTACACTTTCAGATGTTACAGTTCATTAAAGAGTACACAAAGAAAAGATTACCAACAGCTAAATAAATTATATTGAGATAAAAAACAAAGTGAATCAATACAAGTAGTTATAAAGCTATTCTTCCTTTGATGCTTCAATGTTTAATTGCGTACTGACGATAAAAATGTAAGATATTTGTAAATTATATTATAATGACGCGGGCGCCTCAAGTAGGACGCAGCGTAAGCAAATAAATTAAGTATGTGTGGTGTGACACCGTACAATCATCTTTATTGAAATTGGTAACATTAACGAGCTTCTAAATACCTTTTGTAAACTAAAAAGAAATTTTTACAAAACTGATTTCAACACACGTGTGCCAATACCTACTTTTGTAATGGCATACCATCAACAGTACCTCTAAGACACTGGTTCCGTCAACGTCGAAGCCTTATTACGCGCTGATGGTGATTTAAATTTCAGACAAGAGCTTTGCCATGTAAATCGAGGTGAAATTAGTTGCGTGAAAGTAGTTTCATCAAAAATATGCTCATCGCACGAAACTTCTCTACTACCATGACACTAACGCATGCATTGCGAAAATGTACATTAACACGTACAACTGCTAGCGAAAATAATGCAATGAAGTAGTTTCATGTAACTACATTCCGTAATTCCGACTTTTGGTTTAATTTTTTTTTTCCTTTATTACATTTCGCAACTTAGGCAAGTCATAATACAATTACATCACATCATAAATATAAGTATCCTACAAATTAAAAGTATCACACACTAACATGATAAACACCTATTATCACTGATATCAACAATCATACAGAAATATAATCATTTCCAATAACAAAAGACTAATATTATTAAAAAAAAGTGGTTGAATTTTGGCGATGACTAGTTATAATTAATGTACCTACTACAAACATGACTCCAATAAACAAAACAAAACATCACGCTGCCATTATATATTACTAAGTGAACACAGCAGAAATTCAGACACATCATAAAATGGATGTCATTCAAAGAAAAATTTGATTCTATTTTTAAAGTCGTCAAAAGGCAGCTTTGTTAAAGGTAATGGTAATTTGTTGTACAATTTAATTTTCAAACTCATGCCTAGATTTGAAACTTTCTGTAATCTTACTTTGGGTATAACAATTTTTTGTTTATTTCGTGTATTGTAGTGGTGGACGTCCATTTTCGTCATTAATGTATATTTCTGCTCGTGAATTTGTAACAATGATCTATATATAAATACATTTATTACAGTCATAATTAGATTTTTTGCAAAATGCGCTCGTGCTGATGCCAGTCTTTGTAAACCATCTATTATTCTGATTGTTCTATTTTGGTAAATAAGAACTCTACTCCACCCCATATAGTGATTGCCTATGTAATTATTGAATGACAGTATGCGTAGTATACCGATATCAGTCTTCCTGTCCACCAAAGGTTTAAGTTTAAACAGCGCGTAATTGGCACTAGACATTTTTTACAGATTTTATCTATATGGATATCAAAACTAAGTGTTGAATCTATGTTACAGCCAGGGAAAACCACACTTTCATTATGCTGCCCAGTTTTTATTTTACATTTATAGTTTAGAACAGTACTCTTTGTTTCATTCAAAATAATGCCATTGTTCCGAAACCAACATTTTATCCTATCAAAGACATCGTTTCTTTTTTCAACTAAGCCTTGTTTAGTTCTGTCTTTAATTACTATATGAGTATCGTCAGCAAACAAAGTAAGGAGGGCCCATTTCGGTAAGCAATTTTATAAATCGTTTATGTAAATTACAAAGAGTACGGGACCCAGTATGGATCCTTGCGGTACTCCTATATTACTTATTTCTTTTTTTGATTTTATATTATTTACTGTTACTATCTGTTGCCTATTGTTTAAGTAAGACTTTAGTATTTCAAGTTCTTTTCCCTGGAATCCATAACTGTAAAGTTTATGCAACAAGATATCATGTCGTAAGCAATCGAAAGCTTTGGACAAGTTGCAAAAAATGCTCGTGCACTTCTGCGACTCATCGAGTGCACCCAATACAAAATCAATTGATTTTGCAATTGCCATTTCTGTCGATCTATTACCACGGAACCCATATTGACAGTCTTTTATTAAGACATTTGATTCTAGATATTCTACTATTCTTGATTTCAGGACACTTTCCAATATTTTAGATAGAACAGGCAAAATACACAATGGTCTATAATTACCAATGTCTTCGGAATCCCCTTTTTTGAAAACTGGTACTACTTTACCTATTTTTAAGCAGTCTGGGAAAACACCTTGAGTAATGCAGCAATTTAATACATTCAAAATTAAATCAAATAGATCATCATTATGCATAACAATTTCTTTCACACTTACAACATCCATATCGTAATAATCTCTACTTTTTTGTTTTTTAAAGACCTGATTACATTCATTAATTCCTTTCTTGTAATGAGAGAGAAACAAATTCTGTCTGATGGGATGTTAACGTTCTTTAGATATTTATCACAGTCACGTAAATCTGATTTCTAATGTCCAGTTAAAATTTTAGGTATGTTTACAAAGAAGTTATTAAATAGGTCAGGAATAATTTTTTCATCACTAATAAAATTATTTTGCAAATCTCTGATCACTTTGATACTATCATTGTTAGCTATAGTTTTATTTGTTGCTGTTCCCTAATAATTATCCATGTTGTTTTAATTTTGTTTTTAGATTTCTGAATTCGGTTTATGTTACCCAATTTCTTTGCCGTTTGTAAAACTCTTTTGAATGTCTTTCTATACAATTTTAATTTTAATTTTACCTGAGGAGTAGGAAATAAATGGTTTAACATTTCAAGTTTCTGTAAATTATTCATAGATACTAAGATACCTTTTGTCGTTAACTTACATTCACTTTCAGTTCTATCAATAGGCAGAAGTGGAAATGCAATAAGACAAAAATATTTAATGTAATCCAATAACACATCCATTTTACTGTTTGCATCTTGAACGGAAGTAATAGCGTGATTTATTGCATTAAAATCTCTACAAAAAAGCCAATTGAAATATTTTATATTGTTAGGCGTAATTTTTCTTAATCTAATTTTATCAACCTGATCTTTTCCCAGTGGTTTAATCAGTGTTTTATATTTAAGTGAAATAACATTATGATCTGAGAGTTTGACATTCAATACATCAGCCACACAACTCTCGCTTACTTTAGTACTTACAATGAAATTATCTATACATGAAGCTGACTTTCCCTTGGTTCTGGTTGGCTGATTAATTACATGCTTATATTGAAAATTTTCTAACAATGTCAAGAATTTTTTTGTCATATTATCAGGTTTTAATACGTCAAAATTAAAGTCACCTGTTATTATAACAGTTTTTCCTTCTTGTACCACTTTCTCAAAAATTTTAGTTATTACATCTTCAAATATTAAATAGTCTCTATTTGGTCTATACAGGCATACAATCACTAACTTAATTATTTTAATTTCAACAGCTGAGACTTCACAATTCATTTCGAAACTCAGTTTAGTAATATCATTACGTACTTTAAATTCTAAATCATTTTTTATACATATAGCTGTACCGCCATGTTCGAAAATTTTCCTGTTAAAGAAAGAAGCTAATGTAAAGTTTTCCAGACACATTACGGTTAATTTAATATCGTTAACCCACGTCTCAGTTAGACATAGAATGTTACATTTAGTATTTTCTATTAAAAGGTCTAATTCTAAATATTTATTTCTTATACTTTATACATTTGCCTGCAGAATCTTTAACCATTTACAATCATTGTACTTGCCATTGAGAAATTTTTCTGCAAAGTGATATCAATTTCATTTTCCCGAGTGTTTATTCGTTTGGCTGTTGATTGCACGAAGACAAGATTTGACGAACTTTTAAAATGCTTACTCATTTTAATAATTTCCTCAAGTATGAATTTTCTTGTAAACTGGAAATTACTTTTATTATTATTTAGGTCCATATATTTGACACCATGATTTAACGTTGACAAACGCGACAAATTAATATTTATATTATATACAGTGGAATCATTAATACCATCATAGATCATGCTACTAACTTTAATATTATATTTCCTGTGCTCACATTGAATAATTCTACTAACCAACTCCACATGCGAGAGTTCGTTCTTCACAAGAGTATATCCTCCGACCAAGATTACCACTAGATTATTTTCTCTCAAATGTTGCACCTCGTTATAGAAATTACTTAATATATTTTGACTGGAGGCTCCTGGTTTGCAATAATTTATTACGTCCACTAGATTTGTATTCTGTCTCATTCTTGTAGCTATACCTGTTCCCAAATAGTCAGAAAAAATTACAATCTTTCTGTTTACTGCTACCAAGCTACTTTTCTCGTGCCTTTCTTTAGTATTTTCTATTAAATATTGCTTGTTTGTCATAGCTTGCTTCGTGTTTAATTAAATTTTTGTTTTTAATTCAAGCAAATAAAAGTTTAATTTTTGGTTTTCCTCTTCTAAAGCTTTAACATTTTTAGTAAGCTTTTTTTATTGAATTATTTAATTTTTTCACTTTTTTACAGCTATTTCTGTTGACATATCTACATTTTGGTTCCAAAAAAAGCTTAATGCCCTTTTTATCTTTCTTTTTATTAATTTGTGGTACATTTGAAATATTGAAGCTATTATCTTTACAAACTCTGGTTTTCTCACTCGCATGTTTCGTTAAAATATTATTTAATCTCTTGGCGGTGGGTGAAGAAATATTGGATATAAGAGTATCCGATACTCCGATTTTCTTATACATCAATATAATTTTATCAAGGTGTTCAATATTTTTCTTTAATGATAAGTTTTCCAAGTTAAGTTGCTCAATTTCATTATACGCACTTTCTAGCTGCAATTTGATGTCATCATATTTTTGTTTTAAGTCTACACATGGATCTTCATTCATAGAAATGTTAGGTAAACTTTTCATAGTGCAATCAAGTATTGAGGAATCAATTTGATCGTAGTCTTCCAAGTTCATTGATACATCCATATATGAACTTCATAATCGTTTTTTTCTGGTTGTCACAAACATTTCTTGTTCCATAATTTTTGTTAAGATTAACAAAAATAAAAAGAGAAAAACAATTTGAGATGGAAAAAAAAAAACAAAACGACTGCTCTACTGAGGATCGAACTCCTTACAACTGGTTGTACGTGTGAGTTTAAGTCGTTACGCTATGACGTTCTTTAGTTTGAAGGCGAAATTTTCAATCCTTAGTTAACTTGCAGATTTTATTTAAAAATGAGATTGATGGTATTTTAAAATTTATGTGGCGTAGTCTGTCTTTCACTTTACCTTTAATATTTAAATCATACATCTAATTTCAAGTAAATACACATTCTTTTCAAAACATCTTGTCATCCAAACTAGTTTTTCATGTAATAGACTCACTGTAATCACCAATCCTTTTCTCAAACCTGGTTACACACAGCGTTCTCTGTAGAAGTTTACTTCAATTTCAATATACACATATTCGTTGCTATCACTGATTTAGTAACGTTTGCAAACAGTAACATACATATATCTTCATTTTAGTTGCTCACTTATACCGATCAAACACTGGAAAATTCACTATATTTTATATAATTATTATATCGTATTTTACGGACCTCTTATTTACTGTAACAGACGTCACCTGTGGTGAATTGTAGCAATCGTGTAAACTATTATTCTTATGGGACATTTGTTTTTTATTCTGTCCATTAAAGACATCACCGGCCGATTGCCTTGCGATTGCGATTTGCTAAGAAGTACGCTAATAAACTCACGAAACACAAGACGACGACATTTGCGTACAGAGTACGAAGTTTTAGTTCTTCACTTTTAATGGACAGTCATTGTATTATTGACCGATGAGATGAGCGCAGAGGTAGCCCGAACTTCGTTTGCCTACGACAGTGTAAATGAGCCATAACTAAGGGAGTTGTAAAAAATGGGTTTTTAGACTGGTGTGCGGCTATTTCTACCCGTGCCGAGAGAAGCAGAGAATATTACATCTCTACAACGATATTTTGAAGAAACGAATGAAGATGCAAAAAACTCTGCGAAGGTTTGTGTTTAATATTTTAGCAGCAACAACGACAATCTACTTTTTCCAATTGAACTCTTTTCATTTAATACTAATTTACGTATAACTAGTACGAATTAAAATGACATGACGGCCTATCTATTGAAAAATTTCCAATCGTTCTTATATTGAACAGAATTTAAAATAACATTAGTAAAGGGTCTCTGTACACGAGAGACAGCGTTAGCACCGGTGTCAGGTTCTACCTCCGGTGCATCATAAGTTATCAAAAAATGCTTTGGAGTCATTTCGAAAATAGACGAAATTTCGTCGCGGTCGTGTTAAAATGGATACTGACGTCGCCATCTTTTTGTATATTGAAAAAACTTCATATTGGGGACCACATGATATTTAACTATAAAAATATTTTATTTAATACTCTAACAGAAAAGCGATACAAGCAGTACGTGCCCACTACCTTTCTGGGGAGAATATGTTGAGTTTGAGGATGAAGTTTCCTCGGATATTGGGATGGCTACGGGTATTCCCCGCGGCTAGGATGACCTGCCTCATATGTGGAGAGACTGAGCCCCGCGGCCACACGCAAAAGCGTTAGTTGTTTATAGTTTCCTAGGGGTTAATTCTCAAATTTTATAATCTGTCGCAATCCCTTACAATTTGACATTTAAAATATATTCACGAACAATAACTACTTGACATGCAATCGCTATTAACGACGTTTTATTAGAAGGTATTGAATGAATGATATCGTTTATTTAATTTGAATTGGAATTGTCCAAGGCAAGCGTTAGACGCAGTTGTATCTTTTATTGATGCAATATTTGACTTTTGGTTTAGGTGTTTTATTTTATTTTCACATCATGCAAATCATCATTCGTTCTAAAAGTGATTGCGACTTTTGAATTTAATTCCATAGATCCCTTTACCTTTGAAAGGTAATGTGGGGATGAGTCTGCTCTGTACTACTTAATTTTGTCTATTTTCTGTTATGAATATTGTACGAGTAGATTTTTAGTTTTTAAATATTTAAAAAAAAATTGCTTTCCGCTGTTTATCATTAAAGTGGGTGATGTGCGAGTAAGTACGCGAACTTGTGGCTCGATGACCTTTATTGCTTGTAGGCCATCTTAAGTACGCGTACTTTAAAATTGCCGCGCAAGTTTGCCGGCGGTCCAAACGGTTTTAAATCTTACTCGTAGCTTATCTCGATTCGTGCGTGTGATAGCACCTATGTAGTTTGTGGCCGCCACTTTGTTACGACAGTCCGTGGAGGCGCAACGCTTGTTGTTTGGTGTTTGAACTTATATACGTAATTTAAATTATTTATTTATTTTTAATTATGGCAATCTTCCTTCTGAACACTTAACTGTTTTACTAAATTCATATGCAATAAACCTCTTTTCGTAAGCCAGTTTTTTACCCAAACACAAAGCTTCTTCTGTCGACGACATCGCAAAACAATATGAACCATCTTTTCGTGTATCACCACAAGTGTTTAAAAAATTGTCAGTCCTGTTGGGTTCTGGGGAGCTCAGTGGTTATAGCAGTCGCCTGGATTGCTCAAGATACAGCACATGGGTTTACGTGCCATCTCAGAGGATTTTTAATATTTTCTTTAAGATTATAGAAAGTTTTATTAGTTTTGTACATATTATGTTTGAAACAGAAGAAGAAATCTCATTCGACATATGTACGAGTATATAAAGAATAATCATATTATTTTGTTTTGAATGTCGGATTTCTAATTTATTTTTTATTTACTAAATTATATTCATTGTACCTATATTTTATAATAGAATTATTGTGTTCTTAGATAATATTGAAGATGGCACTTGGCACTCTTGCGCTTTGGTAAAATGTCCCTTCATATACTGCTTTGAGTGCTGGAAGGAAGTTGGGGATCGGTGTCTCGCTTGTGACCCTAGCCTTAATGAACTTAGCGATGTGGACTCGTTGAGCGAAGATGACCTGAGATACTGAAGCAGAGTGCTGTCACAGGGTAAAACCACTTAGCAAATGCAACATTACCGATTCGCTTAAAGTATTTGCTATGTGGACTATGTATACTGTATCGTATTTTTATCGATAGCGATATATTACTTATACCTTTCTCAAATGAAGCCTTCTTCTAGTTTTTTCTTAAAGTACAGGATTATTTGTTTATAAGTTATGTAAATATATGTTATGTAAATATATTAGTTATGTAAATATGTTTGAAATTTATTTAATAAAAGAGTAAGTATTTGTAAAATCTTATTAATTAATTATTTAAAATAACCCATATTCTAATTGTTCACCGACTGTCAAATTGCTGACGAATTGGATGTTGTCCGCAACCTCATTGCATAGCAGTGCCAAGCCCGTTATCTGTCCGTTTTCCATTGGACTGAAGTTGTAAACCAACTGTGAAAAGTTTAATAATGGTTTACAAGGCGGTCTTATCATTGAAACGGAGTTCTCCCACCGCGTAGTGTCTAGGCAACTGTCTATTTGAATATTGATTCATATCATGACACGGATATAATAGGGATGATGACTAATTTTTGTTTGTTTGTCCGTCAGGTAGTGTTAAAAAATATTAAACACGTATTTTTTTCGTAATCATAAAATTACGGCGTTACATGGAGTTGAAATTTCGCATGACGTCACATTAGGGTACGTTTTCTACTCAACTGTGACGTAGCGAGCCCCCACTCCTCAACTTTAATGCCTGTTATCTAAGCTATTTCTTGTTAAATTAAAGCAAAAAAAAAACGTATCTAATATTTTTCTATTATCTGACTGACGGACTAAACAGAATTGCATTTTTTTTACCCAGTCATCATCCCTATTACAATGACAAATTGAAAAGTAAACAATGTTTTGATTTCCAACAAAAACTTCTACTCCCATTACAAAAACAGCAAATAAAGTAATAAACCTTTTATATATTATGCTGTTTTCGGAATAAAATAAAGCCTATGTTCTCGGCAAATGATGTAGCTTCCCGCAGGTGACATAATTTGTAAATCGGTCCAATTGTTTCGGTGCCTATACATTTTTAAAAAATATACAAAGAAACAGTCAAATCTTTCCTTTTTATAATAGTAGTATAGAATAGTATGATGAAATTTTTATTCCACGCCTCTTCTATTTTAAAACATGTTGTATGAAAATACAATAAACTTCTTAAGAGTCAGCGGCTAACTACATGTTTGCTTTGAACACAGCCTTAATATCGGTGATGCCATGCTTCTAATGCGTTAGTTGTCCTATGTCTTTGATTTGCACAACTCAGAATCGATGGCAACATTTTTGGGTACCATGTTTTTTCATAGTCATTTTGAAATTGTCTCATTTCTGGGGTTTCTGGATCACGATAGGGTTTAATTACTTTTTAAATAAATACGTTGTAAAAGTGTTTATTTGATTTTAAATACGCAGTACCCATTTCTTTTTTATTAATTAAAAACTTCCACAAAAAGTGCTCATTCCGCGAAGTGCTCATTCTGCGAAGTGCTCATTTTGCGAAATGCTCATTCTGCGAAATGCTCATTCTGCGAAGTGCCCATTTTGAGAAGTGCACCAAATGCGAAAAGCGCATTTTTTGTCAAGTGCACATTTTGCGAAGTGCACGTTCTGCGTCAGACCCATATCGTTTACCGATAAAAATTCATCGTATGTGATCCACCCGTCGTTGTCGCTGTCTGTGGCAGTGAATTTTTCTTTTCGAAACTCCATGGAGCTCTCATCGCCCAAGCTCTCGAGTACTGCGCAACTGTCAAAATTATAATTCGTTTAATTGTTTCACAAATTCCACGCGGTTGCATATCAGCGGAGCGAGTCCGTAAAAACCCAAATTAGAATTCACTCAGGTGTTTTAATTCATTTACTTCGAAAGAGATTTTAAGATTTTAGTTTTTAGTATTACAAATTCAAAATTTACGATAATAACTATAAAGTACGACAAATGTGTTGTTATTTTTATATTTTATTGGTCCACTTGAAATAAAATATGATGCTAGAAATTATATGTTACAAGTAATATCAAACTTATTTGGAAATATTGAAAATAGAGAGAACCCTAACGCTAACTGGACGATTGCTCTCCAGACTCAGTTCTGAAGTAGGTACTTATTACTTTGCGTTTACTTCAAAAGGTAATGAATAATTTAAGAAAAATGTTTATGAATGGACGTCTGTCAAAATTTAAGAATGCGTTTTGAAATATTTTGGATTTTGCTATATTAATTTAATTTATCGAACCTTACAGCAAAAACACGTATAAATAATGATGGTTAAGAACTATGGACCATTCTTGGCCAGGACGATAATTTCTGACCCCGCAGGAACTTGGGCGGACCCAATTAGTCCAGGGTCTCGTGGCATTTTGCTAGATCTGCTACCCATCCAATAGATGAAGAACAATTTCACTCACAAATCTTCAAAGCCTAACATTCCGTTGGTCTGGTTGTCGAACAGTAAGAAGAGGCTGTGTAGGTTGGCGATCGTGATCTCGTTCCAGCCAGGGAACCTCTGCACCACCTTCTGCATACTCCAACGTCGGTCCTGTTCCTTCATCTCCTAAAAATTATTTATATTCTCATCTTCTATATTTATATATAGTATAAAATAAATTCGCTACCCACTGTCTGCACGCTAATATATTGTAAGCTATAGAATGGATTTTAATTCACGAGGAAGGTTTATATATATAATTATATATACAGTACACAAATGTAGATAAATAAAGAAATGTTTCACGGGTATTCCATTCCACGGACTACTTCGGATGGTTCCAGACCAGGGACCTCCAATGATCCGGGAACCACAGTGTTTATTACGTCTGGTTGTCAAATAGTAAAAAGAGGTTGTGTAGGTAAAGAATATGTATCTATTATAAAATCTCCGCATTAAGGACCACATAATATCATAGCTTCCAAGACCTCCAATGTTCAGCGGATAGCCAGTTACGAGTTGTTAGAGCTTCTTCGGTATGTGAACATCAGAAACAATTTACAGATGTATCGAAAATTTACACAGGGTAAAGAGGGACCAGGGAATTACCTTTAGCCCGTGACATCAGTGACCACCACGCATGGTTTGGTTTATGTCAGTACGACCTGCAAGCCAACTGCGGCCCGCGGAAGTTATTAATGCGGCCTGCCCAGGACCCAACGATAGGGATAGTATATGGCCCAATATAAATACGTTTTGACGGTCGAGACGTATAAAGAAGATTCTACTTAGCGAAACTAGTCGCGTAGTTTATGTGTTTCGTAATAATACGGGGTGCAAAGCGTGGTGAAATGAGAGGCGCGAGCAGCGAGGGCGAGTGGACTCAGTCGCCACTCGCCACTCGCTAGCTGTAGCTGACCGAGCCGCACGTTTTACGTTGATTTAGTTCTAATTTTGTCTCTTATTCTTGCTTGTTTGGGTAACGCTTTACATTCATAGTCGTTTGAAAAAATAAGCTGCGCTTTTGGGATAATGGCGTATAAAAACGATAGTCGATTCCGAGTGTCAATGTCCAAGGGTAAGTCAGTATGTCTTATCCATACTAATATTATAAATGCGAAAGTAACTCTGTCTGTCTGTTACTTAATCACGCCTAAACCACTAAACCAATTTGCATGAAATTTGGTATGGAGATATTTTAATACCCAAGAGAGGACATAGGCTACTTTTTAGCGCGGGAAAATGACGCATTCCTACGGAAAAATAATGTAAATATAAATAACTCAAAGGTGACTGACTGACATAGTGATCTATCAACGCACAGCCCAAACTACTGGACGGATCGGGCTGAAATTTGGCATACAGGTAGATGTTATGACGTAGGCATCCGCCAAGAAAGGATTTTGATCAATTCTATCCCCAAGGGGATAAAATAGGGAATAAAATTTTGTATGACACTTTGTCAATTTTAAACCGATCGGGCTGAGATTTTGTATTAATAAGGCTACTATGACGTAGGCATTCTCTAAAAAAGGATTTTGATTGATTCCACCCCCAAGGGGATAAAATAGGGGATGAAAGTTTGTATGAAACTTTGTCAATTTTAAGGGCTGAGACTTTGCATGCATAAAGCTACTATGACGTAAGCATCCCCTAAGAAAGGATTTTGATAAATTCCACCCCTAAGGGCATAAGCTAAGAGGATAAGACTTTTTTTCGGGTATTTTACACGATATAATGAATAAATATTCGTTAGAAATGTTGCTCAAAGTAACTTTACCTCGCGGACGAAGTCGCGGGCAAAAGTTTGTTTGTAATAAAGCAATGGCGGTATTTAAAGTTTTTAACCTTGATTGTCATTTTAACATCAAACATTCAAAAATCAAATATGCTTTGATGAATGACGCAAAAAAGTACATGCGGAAAACTTAAAAAACAAATTATATGTGCTCAACAGAGTATGTTTATGAAGCAAAACACTACTCAAAAGGCTTCTACACTGACTGGATAGGTTGTGGCTTATAAAATAGCTAAAAATGATAAACTATACGCGAAAGGAGTCTTCGTAAAAGATTTTATGGTGAGTATGAGTAAAATTTTATGACCAGAAAAATTGTTTTGGAAGAGTTTGAGTCTGTTGCATTAAACGTGTCGATTCAATTTAGGCAGCGTATAGAAAACTTTAAATTATTTTCCGTGCCGATGGATGAAAGTACGGATAGAAGAGACACTTATTAATCTTCATTAGAGGCGTTGACGACGAATTTAAGATTACTGAAGAGCTAGTTTGTTTGCAATCGGTAAAAGAAAGAACGATGGGGCAAATAATTTAAAACAAATTTTCCGAAGGTCATCAAAATTTAAATGCGCCTATTTCAAAAATTTGTAATATGGTTGGAATGGAGCTCCAAATATGGTTGGAACAAACGCGGGATTCTTAGGTATTTTTCGGAACCAAAACCCTAATCACAATGTTGTATTTTTAGAATGTATAATTCACCAGGACGTCCTATGCAAAGCTGCAATAGATGTTATCTATGTCCTTAATGTGGGTTTAAAACTAATTAATACGATTCGATATCGGGGCGTGGTACACAGACAATTCCAAGAATTTTTGATTTAAATCGACGCAGATTATTCTGATCTTTATCACACGAAAGTGAGATGGTTAAGAAAGCTGCAGATATGCATTTGAAAGGGGCTGAAATTTAAAAGAGGAAATACAAGATTTCACAAAAGAAATACAAAAAACAGACAAATGACCTGATTTCCAAATCTTCGAAGACAAATATTGGCGTACCGATTTGCTTAAACACTATAACCAATTAAATAAACAAATAAAAGGAAAGAAGTTATTTATAGATAAGCCTTGGGGTTCTCAGAAATCATTTAAAACTCAGCTTTTTCTGTTTTATAAATGCATAGTGAAGAACGATTTAACTCACTTTCTGCGTTTAAAATTCATGTCATCAGTGAGTTAGAACAAACTCAAAGAATACAGTCAGGTGTTGAAAAAGCTTCACAGAGAATTTGAAACTAGGTTTCAAGCTTTTAAGCATATTCAATCATCGCTAGATCGATGCGGTTTAATGTAGGTCGGGAAAATGTATCTGCAGAATTACAATTGAAAAATTATTACAGTGTAGTGTGTGTAAAAGAATTACAGTGTAGTGTCTATTTAAAGCAATTGATTTTGAATTCCACAAAACTAGATTTTTATAGAGTATTGCTGAGAGCAGAATTCCCAAAGATGATCGTTCACGTCCAGAAAATTATGGCGATGTTTGCGTCGTCTTTAGTGTGCGAACAGACTTTTTCAACTATGAAATTGGGGAAAAACTCAATCAGAAACCGATTGACTGATGAACACCTTTTTGCACTGTCGAAAGTTGCTTCGTCAAAATAAAAAACAATTTCATATGTATATATCACACTGCTAAAACACGAATAAAAGTTAAAATAATTATTTTTTGAGGTTAAAGGTAATTTGTAAACTTGTATAAGTGTGTAATGCTGTAATGTTTTTTTAATATAATTATTGAAAGCTTAAACACAGAATGATTTTTTTTTCTATATTTCTAGTCCTCCTCTAGAATTTCTTTAACTTTATGGCCCTCCATTAAAAAAGTTTGGCCACCACTGGTTTATGTCATTGGTTTTATACATTTTCCCGACATGGGGGATAGGACTAATGTAATCATTCTCATATTGACGTGACGCGATGCAGCGTGGGCTAAATATAATTGAAGATGAATGGTACCCACTTGATTGTACTGGCGCTGCTCCGCCAGTCTCTTATAAAACAAATCGACTAAATTGTCATAATCTGTCATGGCCGCCTGGGGGACATCAGTGGCTCTTTTTTGAGGTTCACCTGATATCATTAAGTAAGTTGAATGTTTTATTACCTTTTAGTAACAAATTGATAATTTAATTACATAAATGCTTAATGGTGTGCTTCACAGCTGACCGCGGCTTCAATTTGGTTGCCATTGGATTTAACCAACATGCACTAGATGTTCGATACCTACCTGCTGTATTACATACAGTATACGTTCAATACATCTTGAGGGCTGAATAAAATCCACACAACGATCCATAAAGTATTGAACGTTGAGTGTATTTTAATTGCCTCATAAATCTTTGACATGGTCACCGAACAGAGACTATTTTTTCTGTTAACCTTGGTTCCTTCTAATAGATATCGTAAACAATTTCATTATTACTCGTATTAATAAACAAGGTTTAGCGTTGGAGTAAATTTACGCTGAGACTGCATTTAGTATTAGTCAAAATTCATAATATTAAACAGAGAGTAAGAAAAGGTTAACCTAATACGAGGTTCTACGGAAGTAATATTTACTCCTAAGAGGTAGTTTGTCGATTCTCTGTATAATGTGAATTTGGAATACTAGAATTGCAATTTTAGAGTAAATGTGCTCTGACTCTAAACCTTGTTTATTAATAGCACTATTTATGTTCACTTTACTATGCTAGATGCATATATGCGAGAGCAATACAATATCGCATACCTAGATCTAAACTAAGACAACTCAAAAAAGTAATGTGGAGGTCTGACAATACATTTGTTTACGTGGCAGGAGCGCGACCACTGTTGATTCGAAAAAAGAAAGCTAAAGTTATCTAGCGGCTCATCCCCGAACCTTTATTGAATCTGTTATGTTGGATAGATGCATATGATCACCGAGAATTTGAATATTGTACTAAGTCAAAACTCACTCAAATTTTTGAGTTGTCTCAGTTTAGATCTAGGTGTGCGATATGTCTGCGTACGAGCTAAAGGGATATGTAATGCCGGGTTATTGTACGAAATTCTGTTCGGTGACCGTGCTATAATATGTTATTTAATAATGGGGCTACTGCAACGTGGAAATTGAGTTATATATCCAATTTTACGAACCTGTTGCAGTAAAGTCTTCCTGACGATAGAAACATATTGGTTTTCTTTTTACAGGGTACTCAAAGAATCTCCCTAAGCCAGTGAACACAGTGCTCAGTTGGTGGCCCATTGTGTTAAGGTGTATGATATAAGAAATTCTCTTTGTCTAATATAAATGTTTTTTTTTTTTACTTTTTTTTTTCAATATGGACTTGTTCCGATGTAAATGTTTATTTGCTTGGTTATGCACGTTCACAAGCTGTCAAATCAAGATGTCAATTTATATCCTTTGAAAAAAGGAAAAATTTAATGTCTATGATCTAAGACAGAACTGCATCATAGCATGGATATTACATACCTACATACTATTTATTTATATGTTTAATAATTTTACAAACTAATAACCAACAAAAGACTTTTTTTTCCAAAGTAGGGGAAAAAATTTTTTTTGGACGATTCAAAAGTGCTTGTAATAGCCTACTTGAATAAAGATATTTTCATTTCCTTTCATTTCCAAAATAATTTTAAACTACTAAGTTATGTAGTTCTATACTTGTTTCTCACGTAAATTTGTAACGGTGTGCAGTATCAACGTTGATTACGTCCTAGGTTTCCGCATGAAAACTTTTTGTCTTTGATATTAAACATAATCTCTTTTTATTATTCACCTTTTATGATTTGAAATTTTGACTAATCCAATATGCTCTTTATGAATGTTAATTCTTCGTAAAAAATCGTCTGGTTCAAACATGATAATGTAATTATATAAATTTAAATAAAAAAAGATATATAATAACTGAGTTATTATAATTTAAATAAGCAAATTGTTAATCTAAAAGTATATCTTCGTGAAATATTGTCCAAGTTTATATATTACAGAAACCCTGAAACGGGGTATGTACAGTCGGCCAAGAAAGTGGTCTACCACCCTAAGGTTGAATTTCGCGTGTTACGTCAACTAACAACAAGGTTGATTTTCCGTAGCATTAATTTTTTGACACGTCAAGTACACGTCATTATTGCTATCTTCATCATTTTGACGTAGCCTTTGACAGTAATTATCTATACCTATAATAAAAATGTAACAAGGTTACATTTGTAAGATATTTTGGAAAAAAAATATATGGACGGCCTTCATAAGACTAATAGAAGCCAAAAATAATTTTTTTCGAAGAATGTAGATTAATTATATTTTAATACAAATAAAAAAAATCAGTAGGTAGTGAAATGCTATGCGTAAGAAGCTATGCGTGTTATAGGTCTGAATATACTGAGATAACGGATAACAGAAATGAATAGCGACGAAAAACATATTGCGCCGACCCATAGCTTAGTGCGAGACAAGGGCTAAAACTAGAAGAGATAGTGAAAATGCTAATTCTTTGGTTGTTAAAAAATATATACAATTCTTTTATAAAATTATAATTCTTAAAATCTTGTGTAGCCGCCATCTGCCTCTATAACAGCTTGGCGACATTCCCTCATCGAGCCCACCAGGCTTGAGCAGATATCAGACCCACGTGTTTCCTCCCAAACCTCATTGCAGTGCCCTTGTAGTGCTTCTGCTGTTCGTTCATTACGGTTACACCATCTCTGAACCATAAGACCCCACATATTTTCAATAGGGTTGAGATCTGGCTATTTTGCAGGCCATGGTATCAAGTTTATTTCCGGATGTGCATCAAACCAAGCACGTGTTACCCTTGCTTTATGTAAGGGACAGTTTTCTTGTAAATAATTAAATTGACGCATTTCATTTTCTGGATAAACGTTCCGGACGGATGGCAACATAGCATTTTGGAGAACATCAACATAATCTGATGCCGTTGCTTGTAGTGGCAAAAAGGTCAAGTCTCCAACACCATCAGCAGTCATCCATCCATACAAATTTACCGAGATACGACCCGATTCTCTATTTGGCACGACATGATTTTGCGTGTATTGTGTTTTATTGAATCGCCAAAGGTGTAGACGCCCGTGTTGACTGGATTTAAAAGTTTTCTCGTCACAGAAAACAGTGTTACTCCAATCAAAATCCAAATATTCTATGGCGAAATTTAATCTGGCCATTCTATGAGCGTCAGTCATATAAATTTTCTTTGCATAACGCCTGTGATGTAAGCCCATCTAATGTAAATGGTTTCTAATGGTTTGGAGAGTCACGTCAAATATGTCGGCAAAATAACGCGTTGGTATAAAGCCAGATTCCTCATAACTCCGTCTCATGAAGACTCGCTGAGTATCTGATATTTCAGGTCTACGACCGCTACGACTCCGAGCGTTCAAATTCCCCTCCTCGCTTTCTCGTCTTATCCAAAGACGGACAGCTTGTCTCTATAATCAAAAATAAAATATGAACAGAAAAAATAAAAATAAAAATTTACACTCGGACTTGGTCTGAGATTTACATTAAACTCACGTCAGACATAATAATATTTACCGACACATTTAATTCTCTAGAAATCTCACTTATATTCAAACCATCATTGTGTAATGCTATTATTTGTGCTCTTTCGTTAATGGATAAATTTCGGGGCATTGTAGTGTAAATTAATTAGGAAAATACCTACGGAAAATGCCGAGAAAATATTTGACATGAATTGTCAAGTGATATATTCTTTTTCAGTAAAAGAGTTTTCGTAACAAAATAGTTTCCACTTTGAAGTGACCTACTTAAATTTTAAATTTATGAAATATTGTGAAGTCTATTTGTTGTTGCAAATTATTATCTAATGCATAGGCTGCAAAGGTCAAAATAACATTTGTGCTCTACGACAACACGTCAGCATTGTGCATCTCTTTTATTGTTTGTAAGCAATTCTAAGATTCGCCTTTAGCGATGCTTTAAAGACACGGGAATGTTGTCAAAACTGGTAGACCACTTTCTTGGCCGATCGTACTTGTTCTACTTAATAACTGTAATTATATATTAAGGTAATCATACGAACTGTTTTTATATTAATTTTTTGTTTGTCACAGTTTTTCTTTACCCTTTTCTTTATTTCCGTATAATAAAATAAGTTCTCAAGCTTAGTCAGCCTTTCATTCATTCGCCCAAGCATCGAACCTATCACAAATTATAGCCTACGTCACCCGCGTATGAAGTAGCTTCATGTAGGTGGAAGAATTTTTTAAATTGGTACAGAAGTTTTGGAACCTGTTCATTGCAAACAATTTAATCTTTCCGCTTATTAGTTTATATATATAACTAACTGTTTGACTGCGAATTCACACACGTAAATTATAGCTTAAGTTAACTCCGTATGACGTAACTAGCCCGTATGTGAAAGAATTAAATAAAACTTATATATACTTATAAAGAATTTAATTACACTGTAGAATGCAATAAAAAAAAATATTTAGTCTTGCCCGGGTCAAGGATCAGTATAAGTATATCTAATAGTGTAAATATCAACGATTTTTTTTCCATCCGAAAGTATTGTTTCAAAGTGTTCTTTAAAGCCTATTTTGAATAATTAATAACTGTAAGGCAATACAGAAATAAAAAAAAATATCTTGGTGAGTATTTCTATATTAATTTATTTATACTAATATTGCATGATACTTACAAATCTTATGACTACATAATTTTTTTTATTTACCCATACAAATTATAATTTATTAATATTACATAATACATAAACAAAACACATGAAATACAAATAGAAGTAGATTCTTTATACATGGCCAACGCACAATTGATTGCTTTCATGTATCCAAAGCAACATTTATCGCCAAGCATCCATGATAATTATGAATCCGTAAATTATATTCTAGGCAGATAAAAACTTTGCATAGCCTAAAGTAAAATCTTACTGGTTTACCGTGAAAGATTATAAACTCACAACATCTATATACATTTCTTCTTCATCGACAGTATTAGACGCGAGTAACGAATTATTGATGTCTTGGTAGGAATATGTGTTATAAACTGTATCTTGACAGCGTTCGGATGTTATTGGCGGAGCACTCGTCATTTTATTATAAGGATCACAAAGGTGCAACATTGTGGGTATACACTCAGGTTTTTTGTAGCTGATGGTCGTTGTGATGATGTTAGTGTTTTTGCACGACGCTGTTGAGGTGGCTGGTACACTCGACGTCACCTTTGTGATATTAGGTAATGATGTCTTGTCGACCTCAACTTATTATTACTGTAAAGAAATGAAAACACGAATTAATAAATGTACATTTTAACAGCAACACTTGGCTATAGTTCGGTGGCTTAATAAATAAGGGCCACGTGCTCGTTGTTATGTTAAGCAAATGAAAAGGGTTGGTCTTCCAATGCGCATTGAGCCAGCATGGAAGGTCATAGCCCATCCTTCTTAACCATTTATAAGGCCCGAGCCTACGCAGTGAGGACTTAAAAACGCTGACGATGATGTTGACTGCAATATAGACCACTTTGTGATCGATTGACAGGATAAAGTTCGTTATCAATTTTAATAACTAGCTTTCCGACAGTGGTTTTTCCAGTTTTCGCAACACAACAAGGTCCTTACATATGAAATTGGTGTATTGGTATATTTATTTAATCAAAGTATAAACCATTGTTATCTATGCACTTTTGCCATCTTATAGGTAGTTCATTGATCCCATTACTAAAAAAACCATTCGGACGGGAATCAATACAATCTTTGAAGGCGATTTGCACTGCCTCATCAGAGTTGATTTTTTTCCCTTGCAAGAAGTTATACAAATTTCGAAAAAAATGGTAATCTGTTGGAGCAAGGTCCGGGAAGTAAGGTGGATGTCTTAGACATTCCAATCGAAGCTCTTCTAATTTGGTAGCGATCTGTTGTGCAGTGTGTTGTCTAGCGTTGTCGTGAAGTAGCAGTGGCGTAGAGTAATTGACCAACCTCGGTTGTTTAACAGCTTGTATTTCCAGCAAGGTTTGCAATTGCTGACAATAGACGTCTGCCGTAATCGTCTGGCCAGATTTGAGAAGACTGTAATGAACGACACCGGCATAAGTCCACCAAACGCTTACAAGTAAATTTTTGGGGTCAATTTTCGCTTGGGTCAGGATTTGGCGGGGTCCAACCATTACTATGAGCGCTTCCGATTATTGTAGAGGATCTACTTTTCATCAAAGGTAATGATTTGATTTAAAAAGTCTTCAATATT